CAAGTGTTAACATTCGAACAGTATATAGGATGTTTGAAATAACGTGGCTCGATATAAGGTAGGCCGTAAATATCGGCGCCCGCACGTAGTAATCTAAACTTTTCGTAAAAGGTGTATTCTACGGGTCGGTTTGGAATTGTAAAATTACAAAGTGTAGCTCTTTTCCTGTAAAAAGAATAGGCCCAAAACGTAGCCAGGCTCAACGGCGGACGGCGACGCAGACGACCCGTTCTAGCACGTACGTTAAAAGGACACCGACAGGGTATTTATGCTCGCCAAAGTTTTTATTTGTACATGACACATGAGCGCCCAACTATCGTGAAATTCGTTTCATTTCCGCCTTAAAACCGCCGATCGAGAACTGGCCGGTTTGAGTCGCGCTCACTCTCTTCTTCGTCGTCACGTGCCGTTTTCTATGGTTTGGACACAACCACTAAATACACTCAAAGTTGTCGTTCATCAAAGAAACACACTCAATATTAAACAAAAAAAAAAATACAATACCAAGTTTCTGTAACTTTTATAAAGCTGTAAATATGGTAAATAAAAAAATAAAACAAAAATAAAAAAAAAAAAACTTGTAGAGCTTTGTGACTTTCGGCAACCTCCTCTATATTTCTTCTTCCTCCCCAACCTAGTTTCGGTTTCGGTTTGGAGCAGTTGCGATTTTTTACTTTATTCAAAATATAAATAACGATGTAGCAAAATATTTATTGGGTGGACTTCTGGAAACCATTACAAACCGTCTGGCAAAAAATAAAGAATTATTTTTTTTTTTTTGGGGGGGGGGGGTGTTAGTGTTTTTTTTTAAGCGACATCCTTGGGATGTCCTCATAAGGAACGTCAAATGGAAAAACTCCGTGGTACATTGTCCCCATGATGAACACTGGTATGTGTTGCTTCCACCACCGCCTTCGCTTCCTCCGAATAGTCAAAGACGGTGTATGTCTCCACTCATGGCCGAATGAAAGACGGGGAGAGAAAACCGGAACGTGCTAAAGAGCCCATTTCAATATGTGGCTTTAGCACAGAAAGGGGTTTCCATTCATGCTTGCCAGTATTTAGTATATATTTCGGAACGATAAAGCAAAAAATATCGATAACCTCAAATAATGTGCCAGGGTGTTTTTAAATTGTTCTGTTCGGAATATAATTCTTGGAAGTTATAGCATCTAAAAAATGTCTCGCCTAAAAAAAAATAATAATAATGTACTTTACAAGAAACATTCTGCATTCTTTTTTTTTAAATAACGACCAGCACAGACCCTTTTGTACTCTTGAAATGACCGTCCAAAGTATGGTTTTATGCTTGGAATCATTCAGTCATACATTATCAACGTTATCCTGTATATTGCCTTCATTGTGTTAATCATTTCAGTGTTGCTTCATTTTCAGGATATATATATATATATATATCAGGGTGTCGAACCGGAACCGAACCGAACCGAAAACCGGAACCGAACCGGTATTTTTTCCTGAACTGAACCCGAACCCGAACCGTTATATTGTTATCGCGATGAACCCGAACCGGAACTGAACCGAAAAAAAAAATACCGGTTACCGGCTCATGTCAAAACGGTTCGGCCACGCGCTGTTGACAATGAATGTGCGATCAATGCCATTTGTTTTTTAAGTGCCGTCAACTGACACACACCTCGCTTACATATTTTTCTTCTCCATTCAGTCTTAAGCCTAGTTCACATGCAGCGGTTTTGGCCCTATAAGGGCCGCCCACACTAGCGAGAAAACGCGCGTGGCACGCCGATCGCGTTTTGCCGTCGCGGCGCTCTGGCCAGCACCAGCAATTCAGTGGCACGAGCGCCGCGACGGCAGAAATCGCGCCGCTTTGGGGCCAAAATCGCTGCATGTGAAACCCGCTTTAGGAATATAAACGCTGCATCCATGAATCTTGACAAACGCTGCATCCATGAATCTTGAAATAGGAACCAGTATTGCGCTGGTCGCGGCTTGCACGGAAAAAAAAAATTAAAAGGCTGTGCAAAAAAAAAAAAAAAAAAAATCGCGTCACGGGATTTCATTTTCCTTAAATCTTAAATGCTGCTGTGTGCTCATTTCATAACACGTTCCTAGAACGCGCGAGTTTCTGAAGCTTGCTTCCATCGGAATGAGAAAAGAAAAGTCTGTGGAGTTTGATAATAACATATTTGTGAGACGGCAAACTCTTCTATTTTAATATTTATCCTATTACGTCCTTCTGGCGTTGCGTTCGGTGAAGTGTTTTTCATATTCCGTATCTTGTTTAATGAAAACTTCTTTAAGGGTCTGATTTGAGTTACCGAAGGCTAGTTCAAATAAAGAAAGCTGTATTTTCTCCCCACTGTTCCTTCAATTGCTTACACGCCGAGGTGGCGGGATAGTTAGCGAGTTCTACTTGTAAGTGGGTTTGTAAAGAGGTCGCGGATTTTACAGCTACTGCGTCGGACCCAATTAGATGAAGTCCGAATGCGTAAACGTCGGTGAGGTAACCTTTGAGTGCACATAAAGAAACCATTCCTGGTAGAAATCCCTGAGCCTTACACTACGATGTATCCCGTTTCGTATGTGCTGATTTCAGATGTTTTATTTGTAATTTATTTTGATGTTGCAATTTGTCATTTATAATTTCCGAACCGGTTCGCGAACCGGTTCAGCGCCCCGAACCGGTTCGCGGATCGAATTAATCGAACCGGAACTGAACCGGAACAAAATAAATTTACCTGAACCTGAACCGTAACCGAACCCGTATTTTTTTTCGGTTCGACACACTGATATATATATATTTCAAAATTACCTTGTGACACGATTGATATGTTTATTGTTGTTTAGCCACTGGGCACCGTGTACTTATTTTTTGCATTATTCCTTTCCTTTTCTTTTTTAGAAATTAAAAAATTTATTGCTTAGAAATATTAAAGCACGCAAAACCTTATGCTCCGGTTGTATCCCGGTCGTGTTTATTCTCGATATGTCAGTTTTAACTGAAGTCATGTCCTAGTGTTGTGCAATTAAAGGCAGGCCGACGTACAACCTTGTTTTTCTGCAAGGAAGAAAATCCTCTTAGCGCTCCCCCTCTACTAAGCTGCGTGGGGAGCCAAGTTGGGGAAGGTAAAAGGTGGAGGGGATATAGAAAAGGGAGAGGCGGGCAAAAGTGGAAAACACGAAGTGTACGTCGGCCTTTAAGCAACGTTGCCGCATTCACAGTATTTTTTGTTGTTGGAAACCTTGTGAATTTTTTACTGAAATTTATGAAGTGATCAGATTTAATAAATGTGGATCTTATTTGAATGACTTCACTTATGTATTATACATTGAATCCCTTTCATGGAACTGCAGAACGCTTGGCACAATTGCTAGTTTGACCGTAGAACCTCGAAAGGCAAAGGTGGAATTTAAAACGTGCATGTTTTTGCCAATTCCAGCACCACCGGATACGACTACGCGGATTCCAGCAGCACCGGATACGGATTCCAGCAGCAGTTCCCAGCACGGGATACGACGTCCCAGAGCGTCCTATTGAAGCCCTAAAAAGCTCCCGTGAGATATCCCTGGCAGCTCCCGGGGGCATTCTTCGGTGCTTCAAAGAGAATATATATTTGGGAGCAAACAGGAACATATGTTTGGGATATGCAAGGGACATCCTATAGACGCTTTGCAGCAGCTGTGCGTGGGCGCCGCCATAACCGACCTTCAATTTTGTTTCCTCTTATAACGTTTACTTTACTTTATCATTACCACAACAGGGCAGGTTATTTCCATTGTAAATTCTACTGTGTAAGGCAAATGCTCCCCAGCATTTGCCTTTGTGGAGTCTCGTCAACGCCCGCTTCACTGGCTCGGCATCTGGTAAGACAAGAGAAGGTCAGCAATGGCGGCTGCAATGTGGCACGTGCGCAAAGCGTCTATACATCCTGAAAAGACGTACTATGGATGTGATAAGGATGACTCTGTGTTGTCTGGGAGCCTTAATTATATCGCTTCAGAACGCATTCTGTAGCTCACCTAGAATATGGCTGTTTTCTGCCCATTCTTCAACTCGTTTTTTTACCTCCAAGTACAGGACCGCAGTATACTGTCATGGGCGGTATGATGTTATGATATATCCTTATTTGCTTTGCCTTTATAGTATCGTGACCTCATCCTGCTCAGTTTCCAGGCATTGTGTGAATCTCCCCTCATAATTATTTGGTCATGTTACCTTCCTTAATTTTAATTTGCTTTTTTTTTTGTCTAGTTTATTTTTTTTTTTTAGTTTTGGTGTTATTTGGGCCTGTTGTGGTTCCGCGACTGGACCTTGTTTTCCGCTTTACCCTATTCTTTTTGTTCGTCTGAGTTGTCTCTTCTGTGTTTTCGTTTTTCGACGTGCTGCTGTCTGTGTTCTGTCCAATATCTCGTTTCAAGTTATGAGAATGCTGCCTGAATTGTTTGTTTAATGAATTTCCTTGCCTCATCGCCCTCTACCCTTTTATCCTCATGTCTCCGAAATTCTGAGGACAACTGGTGCCCGGACCACATACCGTCAATCCTCTCTAATACCAAAAAAAAAAAAAAATATTGGTTTTGCTATTAACGCCGGAACGGTCAATTGGTTGCCAATTCGTTTTAGCAAGCCCACTTTATCTATCGAGTGTTTACATTACATGTTTGCAAGACGAGCGGTTGCTGTGGTTGTTGGCGTTGTTAGGAGATAAGGGGGGGGGGGGGGGGGGGTTATGAGAGTCAATCGTGCACGCGCTCTTGGCGCATTCGATTCGTCAAGCGAAGAAAATAGGCAATGACTGCAGCGTTGCTACAAGAACCGAAACCGAAACTGACTCTCGTTAAGAGTTTTCATCGCCATTTGTCTCAAGCAAACATATATTCTGAACATATTATAAATATCAAATAAGCTGGACTATAGTGAAGTAACAAATGGAACAAAGTCGGGACACTATCTCCGTAAACAAAATAAATTATTTTACCACATTGTTATCGTTGTATCGCACGCATATATGTTTGACAGCGCCCCTAGCGTGAATCCGGAGAGCTACTCACGCACCAAATGCTCGATTTCTGCTGTTCTGTGTAGGCTGCCGCGGCATGTGAACAAAAACATTAAGCGCGCAATGCCCGCAAAAATATTCATCGACCTAGCGACGAAGCCGTTCGTCGCAGATGTCGTATTTCCAAACGGCCTACCGCCAGGTAATATTCGCACTGATATAACCGCCGCTCAGTGTCGACGAGTTGGGTGACCTTTAGCAAAGAACGTTGGACTTTAGGCTTACTCCATGACCCCCTTAATGTTGCCGCCTCGCTGTTATTCACCACGGTTTGTTGTGATTATGGCTCAGGCGCTAATTTCCAAACATGTTTTTGTGTCGGTCGCCTCGCACGTGCATAGAAGCACTGCACCCTGTCATCGGTATACCTGAGTGTGTCTGGCTTGTGATCGAGATGATTAGCTTTGACATTGTGACATTAAACTGAAGCGATCTAAATAATGCTCGCGTCTTGGTGTCTTCTTTACAGGTGGTTTTGTGACCCTTTTTGTGGGCTGCTGCCAAAAGGTATTGTTCTTTCAACTATATTCACATTAGAAGAGAAAAAAAAAATTATGAAAATGAATAGGCTTGTGAAGTTTTAACCATCGCCTCTGACACATCTTCCTCAGACTCCTCAGCCCGGAAAAGTAGTGGACAGTATTATCGTACCAAAGAGTAAGTTTTCTTTTCCTTACCACTGAATGCCACAGGTCTAATGTTGAGACTGTTGCATTCTTACCATAGTTTCTACGAGCTCTAGATCTTAAAGTGCATGCAATGTTTTCAGGCAGCACCAGTGTCCCTGTAATCCGCAAGACGTGCCACAACCAGACCTACACTGTGAGTCAGTTGTGTCCTGTAGGGTAGCCACCTTCTCTACTTGTGCACCAATCCGACTTGAGTGCTTATTTTCCCAAGACGGCAGATTATATGGAACAAAATTCTTCCTACGGAAGGAATTTCATGTGCAGCGCGAGCTTGGTTGCTCGACCTCTGTTTAATGACTCGACAGGCGTCAAGCCTAGCCTAAGGTGCCGTGATAGGCCTCCTGCCCTGAAGCTTTGAACAAACCGTGTTTCCCTGTTTTCGGAGAGAATGAGCTCACCGGGTTGGGCCAGAAGGGCTTTGCATAAAAAACTCATTGCTGAGCATTTTCCTTTTGTAGTGCTGAAGAGCGGGGAAAGAAGAAACATTTTCCACGTTCGAAAAAAGAGTAGATTCTACGTCGTAAAACAATTGAAAGTGTGGGATTCGTGACACCACCACTAGGGCATGCGTCTCCTAGCTGTTCCTGGCTCTTGATTCCATACCATCTGGTGTGGCGGTGCTATGGTTTCTTTGTTTGGTCTGGAGAGTGTGAAACAGCATCTCCCATCTCAAGCTCTTGGTGTCTTAGCTTTGGCCCATGTTAAAGGGCAACTGCGCTCAATTTCGGGATAATCAGCGATTTCTCATTAGAAAGCATTAATAAGACACTACATTATTTCCTTCACAAAAAATGGGATATATAGGGTGTCTGAAGTCACCAGGCTCAATCTAAAAGTTGTCGTAAAAATTGACGCTTGCACAAATCAATCCAAACTTCGTCAAAGGTATATTTCACAGGTCAGTTTTTTCTTGTAAAATTACAAAGCGTACCTCTCTTTTTGTAAGAAGTAGGGCCAAAAAGCTTGCCAGGGTCAGCGGCGACGCAGACGAATGAGTTGAGTGGCGGGAAGCGTTTGGTGCACATATGGATTTTTTAAACCAAAGGTACACTACAAAAATATTATGTTCATGTTCATTTTAGTAAATCACGGTCGTCGCGAGCAGTTTTGATAAGGAGGTAGCGCAATCTGTCAATATATGTGCCAAATGCACCCCGATGCTCGACTCAGTCGTTTGCGTCCCTGCCCACCGTTGTCTCTGGCAAGTTTTCGGCCCTCTTCTATAAAAGAGAGGAAGCTACGCTTTATAATTTTACCAGAAAAAATGGACCTGTGGAATATTCCTTTGACAAAAAGTTGAGATTGCTTTGTGCAGGCGTCGACTTTTACGGTCCATTTTAGATTGAGCCTGGTGACTTCAGGCACCGTATATACTGTTCAATCTTAACTCTAAACACGAGCAAAAAATCGAAACCGAAACTTCGGCTTCGTCTGGCAACATTGGCCTCGTGCTGCCAAAAACATGGCTATCACATGGTATGGATGTCATGTGATCCATTACACAACGACGGCAAGATTGGGGCAGTCCACCTTTGGGCGGCTGTGTGCCAGGTACAAGTGTCGTTGGCAGCACTCTCTTCACCATGTTTTGGTGTCTATGACATTTAACGACATCTGCACAACTGCAGCATCAGTCTGTGCACGTACTGTGAACGAAACTCTGAGAAAATAACCATTAACGGTGAGACGACAGCGGTTGTGATGCGGGAAACAATGGGAGGGTCAGACGACTCCCAGGAAGTGCGCTGCACAGGTGCATACACTAATCACGTGGACAGCGCTAAGCGCCGAAAGGAAATATGCTGACGTCACCTGTGACGCTTTCTCGGAGAAGTGAATACTAACAAAAAGGGGCAATGTTGATGACGTTTAGCTCGATGTCGGCTACGCCAACGCCGTAGCCTTAACTGTGCGATTGGTTGCGTCTCAATTTGCCCGCTTGGCGCATTCGTCGTCATCAACATTGCCCCAAAAAGGGGCAATGTTGATGACGTTTAGCTCGATGTCGGCTACGCCAACGCCGTAGCCTTAACTGTGCGATTGGTTGCGTCTCAATTTGCCCGCTTAGCTGGACCGTTTAAGAAACACTTAGAACTAAGTCATAATATTTGACGTCTGGTCTTCCTAGGTAATACTGTAGAGGACACCATTGTTTTTCAGAGGACACCATTGTTTTTTCAAGAACTAAATTTAAACGGAGTTCCCCTTTAAGGCAGTGTCTTAATTTTTGCCATTTTTTTTGTTCATTTCCTGCAATCACGTTTGATACCAGAAACGGAACGCTGCTCCACGTGTGACGGTTTCAGACGTGCAAGTTTGTGATGCCCATTAACAAACAAATCACTCTTCTCAGCATCCCCTGTTCAATGCATAAAGCATATTACCGCATTCCAAAACTTAGCCTTGCTTTCTTTTATTTCTGCTGTCGCGTCATATTCTCGCCAGAGCCATGCATAAGGGAAAACAGTTTTTCTGTCTGTGATGTCGGAAAACTTGTTAATTAGTTGGAGTGTTTGTTTTCATGAGCCCTGTCTTAGCCTTGCTTTCTTTTATTTCTGCTGTGACGCGATATTCTCCTCGCCAGAGCCATGCATAAGGAAAAACAGTTTTTGCTGTCGGTGATGTCAGAAAGCTTCTTAATTAGTTGGAGCGCCGTAAGAGGATGACACCTGGAGAACAGTTTTGAATGAGACCAACTAGACGCATATCCAAAAAGCTAAGGTAAATCTCCGAGAGGACTGGGGCCACGGCCGAACCAATACAATGGTCAAGATTTCATTCAAAAACAAGGAATTTGTATTGGTTCGGAATATGATGGTCAAGATTTCATTCAAAAACAAAAAATTCGTATTGGTTCGGCCGTGGCCCCAGTGCTTTCGGAGATTTACCTTAGCTTTTTGGATATGCGTCTAGTTGGTCTCATTCAAAACTGTTCTCCAGGTGTCATCCTCTTACGGTGCTATGTAGACAATATCCTGGTCTGCACTACCGATTCTTTACTGTCAGCGTTGGTAGAAAACTTAATCTATGACAGTCGCCAGAGCTGCAATTCTCAGTAGAAAGACCTGTAAATGACTGCCTGCAGTTTTTAGATATACAGCTAGAAACACCCTCCAGTTTGTGTTGGCAGTATGGCAAAACGGAAGTCAAACCGCTCCTGCCTTTCAAAAGTTGTCACTCAAAGAATATCAAGGCTGGCATAGTCAGGAATTTAGTAGATAGTGCACTTAGGAAATCTTGTTCGCACTCCATTGGTTCTGCGATCCAACGCCTTTTAACCCGTTTCAGCGTGGCAGGTTTTCCCGAGGATTATGTGTTCAGACAGTTGTTGTACCGGGTTAATATGAGGAAGAAATGTTCAAAGGTTCGTGAATCTGCCAGGCGTGTTGTTCTCCCTTTCTTCCATTGTATTTCTCATAATCTGAAATCAGCCAGCAACCGCTACGGCATTAGCACTGTGTTCAGAAATGATTTCAAACTAAATCGGTTGACCCCGTTCAACTCGGCCAAAACTGGATGTACCAAAAAACGTAGAGAAAAAGATGTAGATTGTGTGTCAGGCGTAGTTTACAAGATTCCTTTTGCCTGTGGGTTATGTTACATTGGACAAACGAAGCAGTGTTTGAATGATCGTTTAACTGAACACAAACATTGTATTAGAAACAAAGATCAGTATTCAGAAATGTCAGAACATGTGTTAGAATGTAATAATTGTGTACCTCTTTGGAATTCCACATCGGTTATGTTGACCGAGAGAGAGGATCATAAACGCTTGGTAAAAAAGAGTCCCTCACTATTATTAGCCATGGAAATGCAGTAAATAGACAGTCTTTTAATTCGGACACGGAGTTGAAAAGATTTCTACAAATTTGGTTGTTTGGAGGTCACCTTTATATCTGTGTAGGATGTTGTTTGTTCAAGTTTAAGTTTCACCCCTGCCCCTCTGTTTTGGGAGTGCCGAATGTCAGGGGTTCTTTCTTTGTGAAGTTATCAGGACCTCACCGAGGTGGGTTAAGAGATCTTCCCCTCCCCCCTTTTGTTTGAACTGGAACAGTACCAGTTTTTCTGTTGGTCAATGTCCTCCCTCTCTTGTGTGTTCGGGAAAAAGAAGTTCATCCTCCCCCTTTTTCATTCCTTTTTGGTTTCCGGCCCCTGTGCCCTATAAAACCACGATCTTCTGTCCAATAAATTTCAGCTGTGTTTGAGACTTTGTGTTGTGTTGTCCTTTTCCCCCCCCAGTCTCGGGGTTTTGTTTAAAAAGGAAAATTATTCTTTAGTTTAGGGCCACACGCAAACATTGGCCTCGATATAGTGCTCGTGAACATGTAATTTGTCTCTTGATATGGCTGTTCGAGCATCCTTTGTAACCAGTAACTGGTTGCTAAAAACTTTTTTTTTTTATGATTTTGTGATTATAGTTATATTAGAGGTGCAAGGAGTGTTCTTGTGGCAATATTTTCACTTTTTTATGCTGGGATTTAGAATGTACAGGTCGGTTGCTTGCAGTTGTTTTAACGACTTTACATTTGTTACAGCAGTGCTGTAGCAAAAAGATTTTACTGCTAGTCACATTTGTTGGTATTACCAAATTCCAGGAGTTCTGCGATGGGAAAATATTTGTTCGCAACGACGTCGCCAATTTCCGTAAGTTGTGGTTCTTACGTTTTGTACGCTGCAGTGGTGTCCTTAGTTAGATCTGTTTTAGCATAAAATATGTTACATATAGGCCATAGATTTTCAGCTTCTTATTTATAAGGAAAAGCGGCAGATGTTTTTCGGTGTTTACTCGTTTTTCAGATATCTGTGTATTTTTGTGATTTGTTTTGGGCGGACACTAAAAACGGGAGTTTCGGTAAAACAAATTCTCATAAAAAAACTAAGTTTGCCTAAGAGATTAGGCTCTCAACAGAAACAGTCCTAGCTGGAGCGAAAATTTCCAGAAATCTGTACATTTTCCAGTCTTAACCGACTTTGTATTTTTGACACCAACGGTTGTTTATTAATGTTTTTTGGCTTTAATTATTTTTGTATTTTTGACACCGATGGATGTTTATTGGGGTTTCTTGGTGAAAAACGGAAAGGTAATGGTCTAGCTGGCTCCTAATAGTTTTCTTGAATGTAGATTCCTGTATATAAGAGTCACGTAAAAACTTATCCACTATACCAGGGAAAGAGTAGAAGCAATCAGTTTTGAACCGGGGTTCTCCCAGTTGTTAATCCAAATATGCTCCAACTTTGCTGACAGTACACGTGGGAAAAGTGGGTTTGAAATGTTGTAAAGCAGCACGCGCTCTTGCACATGGGGTGGGTGCGTATGCAGAAAGCGAGGAAGAAAAGAACGAGCACATGCTTCGGAAAAAGTGAGGGGACGCAAAATGGCAGGCTCGAGGTTGGTGCATGCGGCCATAAAAGACGCATACTTTGCGTTCCACTCCCGCTCGAGCGCTAGTACTGTCGGGGCTTTTTCTCGGAGATGTTATGCACAACGATGTGCTTTCAAGGCGTAAAAGGTGTACGAAGTTCCTCTGTGCGACGTCATTGCGAAGCAACATACGCAATGCATTCTGTATCGCCACTGCTTTCGCCACAGTGGTGCAGGAACAGGGAGCGCGGCTTTTATTGTATTGCTCTCGAACCAATTTAAAGCCGTGTCACTTTGTCTTTCAGAAGTTGCGGCATATCCGTGCAGCCTGCGGAGTTCTACGAGCAGTCCTGTGAGTTTGACCATTTCATAAATGCGCACAATTGTTGCCTACATTCTGTCTCGAGTGATTCAAGTGTCACTACACCTGGCGCCGGCTTAGTTTTCAATCTCTGTCTTGGAGTCGAGCTTAATGTTCTTGTACAAGACGATTTTGTTTCTTCTCGTAAAGCATATGGAGGTTTTAGCAGGATCTTTTATACTTGTGAAAAGTTGGATGTGTGTCTGCACTATAGGCAAGGTTGACGGAACTGTGACAGAACATTGCTGTTAGCTCCTTGTTCATTTCAAGTTTGCTGTCTAAAGTGGCTTATACAAACATCAGTCCTTTAGCTGACTGATGTTTCACTATGTGCATGTTCTAGGAAATTTTTTAGACTTCATTATGAGGGGAAAATTTTGTTTTGTTTTGTTTTAGATTTGCATCTTTCCGTTTTATTTTTTGCAAAAATCTGCGTGCGTTTTGTGCGGCAACACAAATTCTAAAGTGGACTTTCCTTCCAGGTGTTGACCAGCCAGGAACATGGAAGACTTCACATTCAAAAAGAAGGTGACCATTTTGGGTTCTTTGACCTCGTATCTTGAAGATAAAGGCCATGTTTTTGCAGATCGGGTTGCCGCTCTCAAAGAATACATTGCATTATTGTGATTCATCGATATCAGTTATTTCAGCTGGAGCTGCAGTTTTGAATTTATTGCGGTCATGCATGGAAAGCCCGCCTACAATATGTTTTATCTAAGCAAAGCTAAGCAGGCGTAAGTTGAAAAGGAATGCTCTGGAAATTCTGGATTGTCCTAAAAAACCTAAATTTTTTTTGATGAAACGTCAAGATGCACTTTCTTGCGTAGGCCTCGACTGTGTGTTTTGTTTTTTGCAGCAGTTGCAAACGTTGGTGTGATCTTTCTGTGATTGGCCTTCACAAGCGTAGGCTTACAGGTTTTTAAATGTGGCTGTACATTTTCTGCGTGTAATTGCAACATAAAATAGGTTAACAATATTGGTACATTAAATGTGTGTCTTATACTAATCTTGCTTTTTATTCGGACATGTCAGCTCTCCCTTCAGAGCTATTGCTAGTGTGGTTTGTGCGCAATGTCATGGGGACAAAAGAAAACAACAAAAAAACCTTTGGATATAAAATATGCAGATTCGACACTATTGCAATGCACATACCGATATTCTAAATGGAACAGAAGCAGAGTGGATTGAGCGGGCAACGGCATGTCGGGAGACATGTGCTGTTAATAGTTAGAATTGGCACCTAACATACATTTTCACTTCCTGATATGTAGAACTTTCTTCTGGCTGCAGTTACTTCCACATGCTACATTTGATTTTCTTAATTGAATGTCTGTACTGAATTCTATTGAACGAAAAGCACTAGTGCCTCCGTTTTTATTTTGAAAGATTATCTTCTCTCACAGCTAAGACAACTAGAATCCTGTTTTATGAAAAGTTTTCAATTGTGATGACGTCATTGGGATGCTTTGATTTATGCTCACTTGTAATGCACTGTTTGTGACACAAATGTATTTGAAATATTTCAGTGCCCGATCTCTGTGGCAACATTGTGCCTTTTCCAAAGTCCGAGCTCCACTACTGCCATCGTTGCAGCTTTTTCAGCTTGTTGCGGTAAGTTTTATTGCATCATTGATGAATTACATAAACTTCAATAACAATTAATAAAAAATTTGCAAAAACAAAATCTAATTTCGGGATTAAAGTGTAGTTTTTAACCCCTTTGCTGCCAGTTATTTTCACAAAAATGCTGTAAAAACTGCAGAAAATTTAAGCACATTGTTTCGAGGCTTCTTTTTTAAATTTAAATCAATTACCGTCAAGTGTCATACTTTCGTGGTAGCTGTGGTCTCGATTCCACCTTGCCAACATTGGCCTCATAATCATCATTGGCAGTAGCATGTCGTCCAATATTATTGGTCGGTATTGCACTTTTATTTTTGTTGCGCTTTTGAAGTAAAAGTGTTGTCGTTTGGGACGTTTGTTGGCACGGCCGCGCTTCCGTAGCGTCACCAAGGACGCCACAGCAACCATGGAGGTAGAAAGCTGGAGGCAGCATGACGCCACCAAAGGTGAAGCCAGAAGTGCGGGGGGGGACACGCCCCCAACGATGACCAAAACCAAGAGACGCGTGTTGTAAGTTTGAACTCTGACTCGGAAATGCAAGAAACAGAAAAACCGACAACGAGATGGCGATAAATCTCACGTGGTACGGGGCAGCGTAAGAACGTAAACAGACAGGACGAAAAATAAGCACACACAAAGAAAAAAGAGACGAGCACGAGGAAAGCACGTAGATGCTCGGGTAACCTCGACTGTCACCTGACGGACTGAGCTTTGCCCGCGGCCTCACGTCTTGTTTACACCAGCTCGGGCGAACTTGAGCAAGACGAGATGTCTGGCCGCCGCCATCAACCATCTGAGGGTGCGAAAAGCGGACCGGGAAAAGAAGTGGAATCTGAAACGTCGGTCGGAGTAGGAGAAGGAAAATTATCAAGGGACGACAGGGAGAGATTGAAAAGGAACGCCACGAAGGACGCCACGCAAAAGAACTTTTCTCTGTTTTTAACGAAGCTTGAGTTGTAGATTTAAACTAATAAACAGTTTGTATTGGGTTAAACCTTGCGGTTGTCATTTAACAACAACACGATTGGGTGAATAGAAGAGCTGACCAAACCAGCTGTTCAGTCAGCTCTCCTTTTCGTCCAATAGCTTCTCCCGGTTTTGGTCATTGTTGGGGGCGTGTCCCTCCACACTTCTGGCTTCACTTCCGGTGGCGTCGTGTCGTCTCCAGAAGCTTCCTACCTCCGTGACAGCAACTTTCTGTTTTTGACTGGGGCAGGGAAGAGAAGTTGCACCACGACAGTCTGCATGGTGGATCTCGCCAGCAATGCCTTCTGTGCCGCCGGTTCTTCAAGAATGGCACCACGCTCAACCAACACCTGTGCCTGCACCTCCAACGTTGCGTTCGCTGCGACGTCTGCTCCAGAATCTTTTCCTCAAAGGTGAGACTTAGCTTGCCGCCGTGAGCCAACTTGAGACATTCCAAAACGCCAATCATCTGGTCAGGTTTTTAGCCTGCTGTTCCGAGTTAATTCGACACAATCCGAGTGGCAGGCTATTGAATGAGCCTCTTTACTGGCCGTTCCATGTCAATCTAAATGGCAGATCATTGGGTGAGTCTTTTACCTTCCCGTTCCAAGTCTATTTGAGACGATCCATGTGGCAGGCTCTTGGGCGAGCCTTTAAACTTGCCGTCCTGAGTCGATCTGAGACAATCCAAATGGCAAGCTGTTGGGTTCAATAGTATCAGATCAAAGTCGGTTGACAAGCTTGCTAGAAAACCTGATTCCTTTTCATAGTGTGCGCTGGGCGGCACTTCCCGCACTTTGCCCGCCTTATGGACATGAGTGGTGGAACAGTTGTAACATTGTATATGCATAACCTGCGGTGAAAAGTGATTCTATTGTGGTTTTTAAGGTAAACATAAAATTCGCGAAAATTTCCGCAAAATTAGCATCGTTTGAAAATGCTCCTTCTCCGTTGCCCATGGATACGTTGACACTGGTGGCGTCAGGAACGTTCTCCGGCCATACCTGCTCGCATGCAAGATACGGAGAAGAACCTTTTTCAAACACTGCTCTTCATTGGAGCCTATCAACTTATAGATCTAAGAACATTGATTGGGTGAGCCTTTCAACTTTCCATCCTTAGTCAATCTGAGACAATCCAAACGACAGGCGATGGGGGGCCAGTGACGTCTAGCGCGGCCTGCAATGTCCGATTCTGGACACAAAGGGCTGCCGTCATTGTAGACGCTGGTGGTGTTTTGCGGCAATATTCATATCAGCTTTTGTCTCGCGTTGATTGTGTGATACGTTACGTTCCCTGCAGAAATTAATCTGTGGTTTGATAGCTTCACACCTTGCTTTCGTGCATTTTTGTCCCAGTACTAATAAAAATTGAAGAAAACCTCATACTGGTTTGTTATTTCAGATCTTCGTCACGGTATGTCTTAGGCTCTGATCAATTCGGCACGTTCTAATCATGGTTTTCCACCTCCGTGCAATTTGCATACCAAGCTGTCTTCGTGAAAATGGAAATATGCTATGTGCTATGCCGCAAGGGCCTTTGGCTGCCACTGTCGACCCATGCTAATTTTAAGTCTGTCAAGCCACCAAAACACTTAGAAATATGTAAACCTCAAATCAGAAAACAAACAAACAAACAAACATTTAAACGCATTTGAACACAGACTATTATATTCCTGGCACCTCACCATATTCGGTTAGGTGCCTGCAGCGGAAGTCGATGGGCTGACTGCGAGCCGAACGCTCTAATGATGTGCGCTTTTGATGCTGTTTGATCGGCCTTGTTAGCTCAATAGCATCAGCTGCGTCTGGACTTAAGCAGAGACAAAGTACTACCAAATCCAGGACTTGTTTATGGAATTCCCAAGTTTCGAAACCTCAAATGTGACTCGAAGCGGCGGAGCATCAGTTGCAACGGGTCTGAACTGTGTCTGGTGCAGGAAGCGAGAGCGAGGCACTTGGAACGCAATTGTGACGCTCCACCAATCGTGGAACCCACCAGGCCCCTCATCCAGCTCCTCCCCCCGCCGCCCCCCGAGCCAGTGGTGGTTGAGGTCGCTCCTGTCGCCAGCAACTTGACCGTCGAGGTGCCCTCCCCTCCCGATGACACGGCGTGTGCAAGTGCATCCGTGTCGCCGCTTCCCGAAACACAGGTGCGACCGAAAAATGTTTTGCATTCACGGACAACATATCCAACATACAACTGTGGTCCTTAGGTGTCTCTTATCAGAAAGGCATTTGATTTCTGTCGTCGTAATTTGAAGCGCGAGTCGGAGGGATCGTTGGCCCTTTGAAGGGGGGGGATTGCTTAAAGCAGTTTCTTAACGTCTTGAGCGGAGATTTTTTATAGCGTTGGCTCGAGATGGTGCATAATGTGCATAGGGCTGGACAGAGATACTCCAAAAAATATTCGGGAATACAAATATGATACATGTGTTTTATGGCCCAAAATACAGATGCTGAGATATATTTGTCTTTTATGCAACGGGATATCCCTGAGATACTTCCGCAATAACGGCGATAAAGTGTTCCAGAGTTGCGATACAGATACTTATAGAAATGCATTTGTTCCCGAACGGTGCTAGTTCGGGAGGGTGTATAGTTTGTGGCGAATATGAATAGTAATTCATGCTTGTGCTCTTCTTTTGTATTACGGCATTGTGTGCTGTTCCCCTTACCTCAAACTCTTTATTTATCATTAATGCCGCCAAAGAAAACATGTCACTCCTGTTGAACCACATAGTTACAGAACTGTAAGGACTGCGCGCCAAGCTTGATAAAAGTCGTCTGCCCGAAATGAACCTTGTTTTGCCATCTCAAACTGTCGTCTTTTAAGCTTCTGAGTCACCCATAGTGTAGGGAGATCGGACAACAGGACCATATTTTTTGTCACTCAACTCCTTTAGAGCGTTCTCTCTGCTAAGTTGGATAGAGTAGAGGGCTTTGTGAGAGGAACTGATTTTGTTATTCTTGCTTGTAACCTTTTTTTAAACCACAGCCCGTTTTTAAATGTTGGTGAGTGAGATGAATCATGTATGTATGGGTGGTTTTATATAAATTACGAAGCAACTTGCACCAAACAGATGTTTTTATCTTTTAACTTAAAAAAAAGCAACAGATGTAACAAGATACCTAAGTCTGGCAAAGTATCACGATACAAGCGATACATCTTAAATCTATTTCAGTACTGAGATACAAATATCTTTTTTTAAGTATCTTGATACAGAGATACAGATACTCTAAAGTATCTCTAGGATACTATTGCAGTACATTTGTATTGCGATACTGCCCAGACCTCATTGTGCATCAAAATTTCAGAGAATGAGTTTACCCCAGTAAAGATTTAAAGAAATGAAAGGGGTACTCGAACGCTTTTCATAGAAGCTTGTTTTTAATGGCATATTGTTTCTTGGCCTTTAAGTCAATAAAAAATGACTGGTTCTGGATGGCAAGACGTCCTAGTGAACTCGCAGCAATAGAAATACTCAGGCATTATTTTCTCTTGGGGGGGTGCGGGGGGGGGGGGGGGGGGGGCAGGGCATTCTTGGGTCTTTACCACCTCCATAAAAGGCATGGACGTTCCAAACGTTAGTTACTATTATTGCTCTCTTTATATGCGTTATGCATTATATTTTGACAAAACTAATCTTTGCATGTAGAGGACATAATTACAGCATTTATTGTTTCAAAACAAACACTGTCCGACAGTAGCCCCCACTGGTGTCTGCTCCAAGGTGCAGAAAGAAGGGTGTATCATAATTTTAGGGTAGATCTCTAATAAAGAAATCGGCAGCCCGTGAGTGTAATTGTTTTTTTTTTTTTTATATGCTTAGAGCCTGTCAGTTGACTTGTCACCATAAATAGACAATCTCTGACCCCACTTAAGTGCCCCTTTAAGAAGGATGCAAACCTTGAAAACCAAAAAATCACGCAAAAAACTTCTGAAATTTGACTCCGCACACACCAAGCGAATTGTTGCCAGTACGTTGGGGGCGGCTCTGAAGAAGTCTTGAGACCACACAGCAGGAGAGAGCTTTAGCTTCCAGGTGCGGAGACTTCGTGCTTCAGGGTACGCGATCGTCGAGAGCATGTTAAAACCACATCAACGAGGAAGTCGAAACTGAACAAAGATTTGATCCGTGGTAATGCCCTACCTTCACCGTCTATCCCATAACTTTAAAAGAGTAGTCGCAAAGTTTGAGGTTTCTCAGTGCTTCTCAGTGCCTGAGAAACCTGAACAGTAATGTCCGAAAATCAACGAGCAGCAGGATACCCATGACCCATGTAAAATCAATCATGCACGGAGGTTCATGGAATGTCACAGCCGCATCATATACGAAATACCGTTGTCATGTGGAAAAGTGTATCTGGGAAAATCTGGGGGGTGCATCAATGTTAGAGTCAGGGAACATGTACTTTTTCTTAAGTCAATGCCAGCACGCCATCTTATGGCGAATTCGCGTGGTTCTTTCTGCGCGCTCTCGAGCGCTCTTTCCAGAGCGCACGAAATCGGGTGGTTGAAAGAGAGTGCTGTGGCCTGATCGAGTGGTTCATTCCGAGGGCGCCTCTCCCTCTCAGAGCGCTCCCTGGCACTCCGACTGTAGCCGTCGGAGTGCGGAGCGGCGCAAGCGTCACGTGGTACTTAGACGGTGATCACGTGGTTTTGTTGATGATGACCGGCAGTGGTCTGTGGTGGTGTGCGGGGTACGGCATGACGGCGATTGATATGTGGTTTTACACAGTGCTTGTGCATTCGACAGTGCGGAATTACAACGGACGGGACGACATTCGTTTGCGACTGTAACAGGAAGGTCGACGTGTGAAGTATTCCCAGTGCTTTCACGAGATCGTTCATCTCACAGCGGTGAATCCGCTAAGCCTAATCGAAGACGCAACAGCTCGCAGAGCTCGCCGCTGTTTTACCGGGTTTTGTGGTCGCTTCAAGAAATTTTGAGGTTTGATGAAAGTGCGTTCAAAGGTTTGTGTTGTAAAATAAAGGGAGAGCCATATATAATGCACTGTGATCTGTGTCACATTGCGATGCTTGCACGATATTTCGCCTTGAGAAAAATGCGGTTTATTAACGATTTTATATTTGCCTGCTCTGTCGTACGCATGACCGCTATCGCAGCGCGTTCACTGTCGAATGTGCGATGAGTTGACAACTGTTTCCAAGCGTGGGCTTTCATTCCGTTCTGCAAAAATCAATTCGCATACTGCTGATCTATTTTCTTTTTTTTTACATGTCGATGCGTAAAACAATTTACGCCACAACCGTTATTTCATCACGTTGCGAGCGTAAATTTTGCTATATCGTCCGCCGCACGCCGTAAGATCCAATGTCCATAACTTTTACTTCCGTGACTGGTCTGAGAATGTCGCAGCGCTCTGAAGCCACCAGTTGTGATCGGCTGAAAAGGATCCCGAGTAGCTCTGGCGGCGAGGAGGGGGCGCTCTGCTGAATCGAGGTCAGAGGAGAGAGGCGACCACCCGAATTCACCATTACTGTGCATGAGATTGCGGGTGCACACCAATGTTTTCCAAGACAAAGGTGCTTAAACATTTTATGCAACAAAAGACTAGAGAGGTGTACGAGGCGTTCAAGATCGCGAATACGGGCCTAGCCTTTGATTGCTCGAACAGCGAAAGAGCTTGAATTTTTTAATTTTAGTCCCTAAATTATTGTCTTCTTTCTCCTTTTTCCTTCTTGTGATAGCCAGTACCCCAAGGGTCACCGTCACCTCTGTCGTTCTTTTTCTTCCTTTTTGTGGTAGCCAGTACCCTTTGGGTCACTGTCATCTTTGTCTTTCACATGTGAATATTTATACATGTAGATATATCCACTTGGGAATTGGTTATTAATGTGAATTGTCATTCATTTAAAAGGACTCTCAGAGAGAGGTTAATTTTTGTAACTCTACCTTCTCTCCCTTCCTTACTTTATTAATGTAAGTGCACTTACATCTTTCTTATCTTTTACTACCTCTTCATTAAAACCTCAGTTGTGAGTCAGCGCTCTTTCCTTCCTGTTGTCTCTTCCTTCCTTACCTTATTTGCACTGTTTAAGTCAACATGTCTAACCAACTCACCCAGCAACTCATTCTGGCTTACCCTGCTAAATCCTGCTACATTAAGCCCAAATCTGAGGAACTTGCACAAACATTGTGGCAAAACTTAATTTCACTCGATTAATACTGAAAAATTTGATCTCTCTGTCATTGTCGGACACTGACAGTACTCTAAATTTTCGCAGTATCTCTTGTTTCTAGTCCAGTCTGGCATGTAAATTAGCTTTGTTGAGTGCCCTTTGCCGCAGTGCATCCGAATGCTAAAGGGAAAGCATTCCCCTAGAGTAGAGCTGTATATAGGGAGAGTTTGGCGAGTCTATGATCTTGCCGCTGTAATGCACCCCCCGCCCCCTAAGTAAGCCAATCAGCCCGTGGCGCAGAGCAAGAGGGGCGAGTGCATGTGCGTGAACTCCCGGTGGCTCCCAGTTTAGCAGGAAGGGTCGCCATTTTCTTTCCTTCGCCCGGAGGAATGCATGGGATCGACATCCAAATTTCGGTTCTTTCCTTTTCTTTGGCAGACTCTAGCAAGAAAATGATATAGTGGTATTACTCGGTGGCTTAAAAAACTAACAAAGTAAGCTTCTGTACGTTTGAATGCGAACTTTGATTCAGGTGAAAAAGAAATGAGCCCAGAGCAGATGACGCACAGCCTCAACAGTGCTGCCCGACAGAGTTGCGTCAAAATGGCAGTTATTTCCTCTTTGCTCCCTCCTTCCTCTCGCTCCTTCGGCGCCCTGCTCCCTTTCCTTCACTTTTCTCCTCTCCAGCGCCTTGGTCGCCACACCCACTGGCCAAACTCTCCCAATATACAGCTCTGCCCCAGAGCGGTGCATTAGAAATGCAAGCATCAGGCATATTTTTAAAAAAGGCAACTTCGTGAGTGTTACTGCAACAGCTTTTAGTTGCAGTAAACATTTCTGAATTAAATCGCTTCCTCGAGCGAGAGTACTTATAAAAAAATTCATATGAACTGCTCTACAGCTTTATTTTTATTTGAACCCCATTGTTTAGTTCTTACCTTTATATATGTTTTATCCACTCGAGGTTCAGTCGATAGAACAAACTAAAACTAAATAAGTTGAAGCAGTAGAACAAACCTTGGGAATAACCTTAACGACTTTGGCTGGATTGTTTTTTGAGAAGGCATACTATTGTTCACATGCCGATCCCTGTTATCATAAGGTTCTACATACAAAGTGTCATTGATTCTCACAATTCAATGACAAACTTTTTTTTATTTTGAATTAAGAATTTTGTTTTGTTACAACCCTTAGAATTTGAATGAAACATCATTTCTTGTGGTCAAGAATATTGTACATTGTTTTAGTGGAATATACTATCTGGTTTACATTTTATTTTATACCTAAAATGACCATTCATAGCAGTCCCTAGTCAATCAGTGTCTTGTTGCCATGTCTAGTACTTTGATGTGCAGCTAAACAGCTAGTTCTTGTTTGAGGAATTCAAACCTGTTGACAAAAGTGTGAAGGCGAAGCATGCATATCCTTTAGTTGGATAGGCCAGCACAGAAATCCTAAAGGGGCACTAAAGACGATTCTGCAATCATTTGTTCTTGGTCATAACTGATTCTACTAGTGCTATCCATCCTAAAAATCTTAAAATTACAATCACGCTCCTCTGATTTTCTCATTAAAATTGTAATGAAAGGTCGTGACACACCTCTTTCTGAGCAGATTTTTCCGCTCAGGAAAGGCGGGGTGATTTTTTACTTTGACGTAGCACGATGGGAGGTAGGAGCCATAGCTTCACTCAACGCCCCTGTAAACCGACAAAGCTTCCTTACCTGACAGAGCTTGAGCTAGAAATACTTCGGCGGACAGTCGATATAAGCAGAGTCCGACCGTACCGCTGGCACCAACCTGGAAATCGCAAACATCGCTCCTCCACAGGTCAGGACTGCTCGGCGTTCGGCTCTCAGAGAGGCGGCTTGCGATTGGCTAAAGAGTGCCATTTGTCACCACACCGACACCCCTGCTTGTGTATACCCCAGCCCCGCCTTTCCCGAGCGGAAAAATCCGCTCAGAAAGGGTTGTGTCCTGACCTTTCATCGCGTTTTTTGATGGAAAAATCGGCGTCGCTTGATTGTAATTTTTGGATTTTCGGGATCTCGCTGCACATAGAATCAGTTATGACCAAGAGCTCTCTCCTCTTTAGTGCCCCTTTATTGGGTAATATTTGCGATGGTATGAATAAAAATAAGGTGTGTGCTTGTGCTGCGGGAGTATGTTTTGCTGTTCTATAATGGACTTTCGGCTGCACCATAAGGTGCTGCAAAATTACTTGGGTCAGTCGCCTCACTGAGCACATAACATAAGCCGATTGAATAACCACTGCCGTTTTTGTTAGGTCCTGGATGCGCAGTAGCTAATTCAACTTCGCATTTTTTGCCATGACTTGCGCACGAATAGACGCCACCGCACAAGCAGACGGATCAAGGCGGGAAGCAGCCCAAGGTCAAATCGCTCCAGATCCGACGCACCCGCCATCCCTGCCCGTACTGCCCGCGCTTCTGCTTCTCCATGGTGCGTCGTATTTCACTTGTTTCTTCACCTTGCAAAAGTTTGTATATCTTTCCATGGGGCCAAATTACCGTCCAAATGACTACAATTTGCCAAATTATTCGCCGGCCAAATTATTTGCCGACCACATTACTTGCTGTCCTAAAGACTAATTTGCCAAATCATAGATTTTTGGTTGGATCTGTGTTAGGATTTAAGCGGTGTGTGATTGATTGATTGGCATCTACAGGGGGCCTATCAAGCTCACCTGAGGCGCAAGCACATCAACATGGCCCCGCTCAAATGTCCCCGCTGTCCCAAGCGTTTCTTCCTCGACCACCAGTTCTACAAGCACCGTTCAATATGTCTGCGCAGTGAGTCCTTTTGGTCGAGCCTGGAAGTTATGCCGCAGTCCATTCAGGACTGTCCGGTCACTGTCCCATGACTACATTCTCTTCCATCAAAATGAGCAATGCTTGCCCACATTAAAATGAGCAATGCTTGCCTACGGTTAAGTATAATTATTGCAAATCCCCGGAGCCTGCAAAAACATCCGAATCATTCAAAAGTCGGAATATTGACAGGACAAAGTAAGCTACTGTTTATTTGCCACTAAAACAGTAGTAAAAACTGGAAAAAGAAATAAAAACTGTACAAATGGCTTGATGGGTTTTCAGCAACAGTGGCAATACTTAGACAGGCTAAAAATACCAGAGGTATTGAGGGAACACAAGAAATTACAGATTAGCCAAGAGCAGTACTGTAAATCCGAGTGGTAAAGGCTCTATACACTGTTAGAGGTTAAGAAAAGCAGGCCAAGCTCTTTCCACAAAGCCCTCCAGCCTTCCCACTTAGCAAAGCAGACGCCAACGAAGAACTGAGGTAAGGTGCAGGGGCACTCACTTCCTCTCCGGTGTTTGCTCTGCTGAGTGGAAAGGTTGAAGAACTCGTTCGGAGGAGCTTGGCATGCTTTTCTTAAAGGGTAACTGCAAAGAAAAAAAAGTTTTTTTTTAAACAGCCTAATTGGGACAAGCATGTCACAAAACAAATGTTCCGCGAAAAAAATGATTTTTTTATCAATATTTACGCCACAGGACGTAATTTAGTACAGTCAGAACCTCTCCACATTTGAAACTCCCGCTCTTTCGACCCCCGCGGAAGAGGAGTACGCCCCGCCCTTCACTCTCCTTGCGTTGCGGAGTTGGACGCACTGCACGGACGCAGCGTCTCAACTTCCGGCAAGATCTGGCAACTACGCCAGGCCGCGGTACTGGCGTTACCGCGGTATTGTTTTGGTTCGACGCGGTTTGCGAGCACATGTAGCGAGGACGTGACCGGAGAAGTGCCCCTGTGATGTTCCCGGAAGACGGAAAGTATCGTTCGTAATCGTCGTGCGCGCTTTGAAAGCGAAGGGAGTCACAGGATCCACGAGTGCGCAACCACAAGCCAAGGTTCACGACAGCGCTGCGTTGGTTTCGGCGATCTCGTTCTGTTTGGTGCAACACGGCGATGCGACAGAGCTGAAACGTTCGTAGTGTGTGTAATGCGGTGCTAACACGGAGCGCAAATTGGTTGTTGTGGGGTTGACGTTCAACCAGTGAAGTCCCGTCGTCGTCAGCTGATCCAGTCAAACTGGTCCGGGAGGACGCTGGGAGCGTTTTTAAAAGTAAATCTGCCTCGTTCTGTTTCAAAATGTGGAAGTTTCCCGACGCATACCGTGAGTAAAAAGCTGCGGGCGTTTTCAACAGAATTACGTCGTTTTAATTGAACAATGGACTCCGAATTGTTGTCCTAAATCTGCCGTTTTTATGCTTCGTGTTGGACTGCGTTTGTACAGCGACGTGTTGCATCGTGCGGTGTGAATAAATTTGGGCACGATTTCGTACCTGCCTACAGATGCATGAACTGAGGACCATTTTTACGTGGTGGACATAGTGCTTTTTTATTTTCTGTCTAGTCGCGGACGTTAGGTGCACACGGGGCGAATCTCGACGGCCTCCAGAGCGATATGACGAGAACGTAACTAGACACGTTGGTCGCTACGCGAACGCCCGATTGCCTCCAGCCTAATAGCATTCCTTTCGGGGCGACATGGCTGCTGGAAGGCTCACTGTCCGGATCACACATCTGACATCTCCGAAAAGTCAGCATTTGCAAGCAAAAAAAAAAAAAAAAAAAAAAAAAAAAAAAAAGAGCACGCTAAGCAAGCGAAGAGGAAAACGAAAGAACCGCGCTATGAAAGCCAAAACCCCGCGTCGCTTCCTATCACTAACACCTGCGACAGCTACTAAACACACACTACTTCACTTCAAGAAGTCTCACTCAAGCACCTGGGTCAGCACGAAACGACGAAACACTGATCACTTCGGTGAAACGATTAGTCGAGGTACGCGAGACAGGCGGGAGCAGAGACTTCGGCGGCCATGAAAGAATGGTGAAGCTTTTGTTTGGTTTGTTTGTATGAATCCAAACGGAAGTGCCCGTCTTGTAAACCTTTTGTAAAGGATAATAACTCTCATCACATGGGTTATTCTTTAAACGTAAAAATATGCCGCTCAAAAGGAAATTGCAACATATAACAAAGGTTTAACAACCGGATCTAAACTGTCAATCAAACTCCTAGCCAATGAGAACCTTTTGGGATTGACGTCACATAATCACAACTTCGTGGCGCGCGATTTAAAACGGACGAAATAGCCGCAAACTAAAATGAGTCTCACGCAATAAATATTGCTGTAAAAAATGTTTTTTCTCGCGGAAAAATTGTTTTTTGACATGCTTGTCCCAATTAGGCTATTTAAAAAAAAAACTTTTTTTTCTTTGCAGTTACCCTTTAAGGGGGGAGACTACCCAATAGGGTTAACTTTTTAACTTATGGCTTAATATGAATGAAATTTAGAGTATATACTGGAAGTTGCAAAGCAGAATGCAGTGCAAAGATTCATCAGTGTACATGAGTTGTAAAATAACTTGTAGTCATTTTTATCAGGAACACACCGACTTTGTTTAGGAAAACTATCGTTCGGAAACTGATGTAATACCGAACACTTTTCTACTCTAGATCTGCAGCAGAAGGCCTAGAGAGTGCAGCTGTGAAAAGAAAATTTCCAAAAAGGAATTTACTTCATGCTAACATCGGAGTGAAAAATCAAATAAATTTTTTTGCCTTTTATGCCAAGCACAAAATCTTACCATCTTTTATAAAAGACATCCACAAAGTAAAAAAAAAATTCCATAGTTGCACTGCCCATAAAATTGCACTTAGGAAAAACAATAAGCGAGTCTTTCCTCTTGTCCCATTAACAAACAATAGTTTTCCTAAAATGAAATTTATGCCAAAATGTGGAACGGAGAAAAATGTGTTCAAAGTGTTCCAACCCATACCTTTTCTTCAGCTTAAATGGACCGAAAATAATTTATAAAAAATTAGCTATGCGGTGTAAACTAATGAAAATTTCTGGAAATACTCTCCAGGTGCTGGTGGATGTAAATATGACATTTTTCAAAATAAACTTTTTTTGCAGAAATTTTTTTTTCTGGGTAGTGTCCCCCCTTAAGTTAACAAACCTTGCAACAGAGTGCAGTGACTTTCATTATTGCCGCAAGTATTGTTTGAATTATCAGGAATGCTTCGAAACATGACGCAAGATAAAATTATGATTTGCTATATGAATAGCTTCACATACAAAGCAAATATTTTATGATTTGCTCTGTACAGGCCTGCTGATCATAAGCAGGTATGCCACAGATAAAACATTGGTGAAATGTATTTCACAAGTTTATTCGTCCCTAGAAAATGTTGTTTATTGTGCACTGTTTAGGTAGCCATAAGTTTGTTCATTCAGGAAAACAGTTGTCTATTGTGGTCTATTAAGCAGGGTACACACGAGCGATAAGAACGGACGTCGCACAACAGCTTTCATAGGAACTTTTTACGGACGCTGTGACGAGGACTCGTCCCATGCTGCCACGTCACAGCTTCCGCGCAAGTTGCTATGGGAACTTTTGCGCTGCGCCCGTTTTCAGTGCTTATGTGTCCCTTGCTTTAGCCCCGTTGAGCACACTTCTTACCGAGCACCGGTGCATTGTGGAGAAGCAACACCCGCTGAAGCAAGCACCGCGAGTGTTAATTCTCTGCAGTGCACCGGTGCTCGGAAAGAAGCACGCTCGACGGGGCCGCAAGATAAAAAAGTATGAATTTACACGAAAGTGCCATTTGAATTAAGCTGCTTATAATAAATTCAAAACATAGCGGTACAACCAAACTTTTAAAAATTGTTTGAATTGGCCAGAAGTATGAAATTTAAGAGATTGATTTGTTGCAAGCCTATTTTATTGTATAACTTACGTTTGTTATGCAAAAAATAATATTCCAATTCTTTTGATGAATAGGTTCTTATATCTACATTGGATAAGGTCAAGCTATTAGGTAATTTTAGGAGTGTTATTATTTTTTTTAGGAGGAACTCTTCCTAAAAAGCTGTTCTCTTCATCACATACCTTTATGTCGCAATGAACTGTGTTAAGGTTGCTCGCTTTTTCGAAGAATTTTGCGTGGTGACGGCTTGTTTTCTGAGCTCAGTCGAGTGCTCCACTGCGTGCGCACTGTAACGTATGTTGCAGTAAATTTATTGCAGCAAGCGCCTCCACAGCCTAGCTTGTGGCACAATGTGGCAGTCGCTCCTCAAAATGAGCCGTTCTCGTCTGTAGCACACTTCTTATTCACTTACGGGTCATCGATGGCAATCATGATATCAGTCGGCCTACACCGACCAACGTCGCAGCCGACCCACGCAACGTTCGGTCGCGTGACTGCGAGGCAGATGACACTAAGAGCAGACCACAAAAGGACCACGCGACCCTGCTGGCAGTGATGTGATTGCTGCGCCAATTGCGCCAAACTGCGCCAAGGGGCTAACGCTGCTACATCCTGCTACATTTCGCCAAAATATGGATAATCTGCGCCAAGCCTGCACCAAAGGACCAGTTTTGGTCGCCTTTCAAAACCGAAACTAAACTGAGTACCGCAATCCGACACAAAGTACTCTGCATCAATCGTGATGTTGTAACCCTGGAGCTGGGGAAAAGAAGGGACGTAGGACAGGCAAAATACTCCAATCTCAGTATTGAACCAGCTTGCCTGCGCCCTCTCTTTAGTTACATCAATCGCTCATCCGGTCTCGCATGGTTTTTTCCGCCATCTCTTTCGCGCTCTCGTCGTGTCGTGAATGTCGTCTCGCATTTTTTTTATTTTTACAACGATAGATGGCGGGCGTGTGCGGACGCTCCGACGCTAACGTGCTGGGTACCTGCCATGCCGTCACATTGAAACGAAATTACGTTTTTGCGCGGCGGGAGTTACTTTTTGATCTGAAGCACTCGCTTCTGCAAGCAACGGCCGTGGGAAAACTATATTTGGTCCTGCCTGCCAGTCCGCATGTCGCTACAGATATGGAGCTTCCTAAACTGAAACATAAGGACCGCCGCATGTTCATCAACATTCCTCTTCTTGTTTAAAACATACGCTACTACAAAAAAAAAAAAAAAATCCCACTTTAGTTTGAAGATTGTTGTGTCTAAGTATTGATTACCTAGGTTTCTCTTGGTTGGCTTTCTTTCGAGAGTGACCCCCGGTACATGAAAAATTTGTCGCGCGAGAAAGTTGGTGAATCGAAGTGAGCTAAAGCAAATAAGGCAATGTCTGCACGCTGAACCCGCACAGCGCGCTTGTTTGTCTCGAGTTCAGTCATTGCGCAAAGCGCTCCAAGAACGTTTTGACCCTGACTCGAGATGTCGTGCATCGATGCGCTCAGGTTTTTTTTTATGTTTAGCTTGTACCTCGCCTGCCGGCCTCGCAAGCACGCGCCGCTGAACTATCTTTTGTCGCATGCTGGGCAGTTACATTTTACATACATTTTTGGAGACCAGTTGGCGACGGGGCGGAGTGGCATGGTTTCGGTTTCGATCGAAAAGCCGTCTCCGCTCGCGCGACGAAGCATGTGCAGCTGCAAGCCGGCCAAAGTTGCCCTGACGTGCATGCGAACATCATTGCACGACAGAGGCACCGGCCGGAACGCTTGCAATCCACTGTTTTACGTTTACTTTTGACGAAAGTCTGGCACGTCGGGAATCGGTAAAACGGTCGGAAGAAGATTTTCAAAATTTTTCGGCGACGCCTAAAGCAGTGTACACATTTGGGGTATCTCAATGTTTCTTTGAAGACGTTAAAAGTGGACATTCATTACTCGCCTAAGCCAAAGCGAAGCTTGCAGCAACTTTGCAGAAAGTTTTGAAAAGCAAAAAGTACCCGCTAGTCGTACAGCACCTTTTTCTTGTGTGCAATTTCGCATTGCACTGCAGTAGCTGTGTTTCATCAGTCGGAGACTGCTTCCATTTATTATATCACTAGTCAACCTAATGCTGGGATATTTACTACTAAGCTGGTCATTTTCAAATAATTTTAATATGTGAAGTTTAGTTTTCAAATTTGAATATGTGAAGTTTGGTTTTTATCTATTGTGGGTACATATATAGGTATCATTTAACTGAAGCATTGCAGAATCTGTCATGTCATTGACATTTCAGTTACATCTTGAGACTCCTAGGTGGTCAAACTTGACTATAATTCGTTTATTTCAGCGAGCAAAGTGCCCTTCGTTTGTCCAGCACGTAAAATGAATATTTTTATTTTTCTAAGAATATCTGCTCCGAAAGCCATTTTTGGTGCTCCGAAACACTGTTTTGGCTGCTCCAAAAGCCACTTTTGCTGCTCCAAAACACTGTTTTGGTTGCTCCGAAAGGTGCTTCAAAACGGCTTAGGCCAATCACATCACTGTGCTGGGCATTTGACGATTGTAGCGATTGTATTGGCTGCACACTATGCTTTGTTCACCGCCTAAGCTGACGGCGCAGTGGAAACCACACGCTCGCTGAACCAATTAACTGCCTCTCTTTCACCACCTGACTGTGCTCTTTGTGCTTGGTACGGGCGGGAGCGTGATTACACGGCAAAAGGTGGACGTCCGTCCGGTCCAACGAGCAGAATACACAGAAAGAATCAAACACATGAAGGACGAACACAGACACACACAGAAAGAACTGTGTGCGTCTGTGTTCGTCCTTCATGTGTTTTATTCTTTCTGTGTATTCTGTAGTTTTCAACGCGCTCTCCTACGTGTACTTCCAACGAGCACTCAGCTTCTATCGCGCTGTGAGCTTGGGGGTGAGCTGAGTTTAGTGCTGTTGTTGCCTCTGTCATTCACCATAGTTATTGCGGCGCTCACCACACTGACCATTCACGACCACATTTACTTTTTGCTTCGGCACGTCCGTGGTAACAAAGTGTAGCCGATATCTGTTCCTGCGTAGTCCCTCCGGACAGATTTCGCGTCTTTTTTTATTGCGCACATTAGCAGAAGTCCCAGGGACTAGTTTGAATTTACTGGCGTTTAGCGCTATAGGATAGAATGTGTGCGTTCTGGGACTGTGCTGGCTGTTTGAATTATTCGAATTGCAGAATTACCATAGCGGAGTCGATTTGACGAGTTTTTACCGTAATTAGTTGCGAGGCTTCATCAATGTGTCCACTTTTGTATACTACCGTCACGAAAAACTTTAGCTCACATTGAAACCTGTTCTGAATTCATTTTAATTTTGCAATGCATGCATTGGTCTTAGTGCTTCATTTTCCTCTACCTCTCTTCTTCTTCTGAAACTCTTGCTTGGAATGCAGGAAGACTTTGTTCAGATTGCATCATAAACAAGTTTAAGGGGAAACGCTGGCCTTGCGAGTTTTTCTTATTAATATTTGACCGAGCCCAATGAATGTACACAAGCTTGTTCAGTTTTTCTTGCCGGTTACAAATATCTGGTCACTTATTCAACCAGTAGATTAGTCCTCAAGATAATTAAAACTTACCTGCCTTTGATTTTAGGAACTGGGAAACATGTTCTTAACAAATTATTACATTTAATGTGTGTCTAGATACTAGAAAGTATAAAGTATTCAATGTTGGAGGCACCTTTGAGATTGAACAATTCCTAGTTATTTTACAACTCATTGAAGTTCAGTGCTCAATTTGTGGCAACTAAGTAATAAAACAAAAGATCAGCTGAAAAATTACCAGAACTTAAGTAGGGAAGAATGTGCTCTCAACATTGTATGCTTCACATATTTAGCAACATAATGAAAAAAAAAAAAAAAAATAGGTTATATTTTTATTTGTGTTAGATGCTGAGATATCCCTTTCGCAAATTTGTAAGGAGCCCAAAATTTGTGCTTTGAGAATATGCCAGTTTAGCATAAACTTTGGTGTAAATTCAGCCTATATAGATATTATGAATTCATATGGCAACAATATTGACCCAGAAAATTAGAAACTACTTCTACTTCTAACTTTTTTTTGCTCATCTTGTTTTCAGAAGCGAAAGGACTGAAAGGCACTCCATACTCGGTGTGTATGAAAGAGGTTCAATGTTTTGTATGTCTAAGGGTAGTCAGTACATGGCTCTGTCGTTCAAAAACTGTGCCGAATTCCAAGAGGTGCCCATTCTTTGTAGATAGCCCATCCCAATTTTAGGCTTATTTTCTCTTCATGCAAAAGCACAAAAAAATAGCCCAGTCCTAGAGATAGCCCAGCACAGGTCACTTCAGCAGTGATGGGGCAGCTTTTTTCACCACTGTCACCTCGCTATTCATGCCAGATTTTTCGAGATCTTGATAGGTGCCATTTGAAACTGCTTGAAAGCAGTGTTCGATCAGCCGGGGTCATTTTGTTAACAGGGCCTAATGGAAGAAAGTGCTTGTATCCAAACAACATAGAAAAAACAAAAACAACACCAGCCATGCCATGGTCGTCGTGAGGATGAACGGCGACCGTGGCAACTATAAAAGTATGTTTTAAACCTTTTGGTTGCACTGTGAAACTTGGCCCATCTCCTCTTATTTTCCCCCACTTTATGCTCGATTCCAAATGGGCTATCTCTTGGGATATTACAATAATTGGCCTACCTATCAGGTGGCACTACTAAAGGCACACTCTTGATTTTTCTAATATTGGTCTACATAAATTGTTTGCATAGACCACTGCGGCATAATTTTACAGAAAGATGCAGTGAGGTTATGGACATTTTGTCAGAAATTTCAGTGTGCACCATCATTTGGGTGAAGCATCGAAATTGTTATTTCTTTTTCGTAGGGGGGATTTGGTTTGTCAAAGAACTAAAAGAAGCAGCAGTGACGGCCCCCGTGGCATTCAGCTTCATCAACCAATTGGAGCCAGCATGATTGGTGCGCCGATCGTTTGGCGAATTTGTCCGTATAAATGCCTCGATGACCCAAACCCATCTTTTTTTTTTTTGCATTTGGAAAGAAATAGTTTTTCAGGTTTCATCTTTTTTGGACTGATTATAACATAAGGTGTTCTCAATTCCCAAACACGCTCAGAAATTGTCGCCCGGACGCATAGCGACCTCGAGTTTTCGTTGACGTTGTATTTTAGCGGTGCGTTTTGCCCCGGGAAGCTTTGAGGCATAGCAATGCCTTCCTGTGGAAAACGAAGCCAGCTAACTTTCCAAGGTCAAGGACAGACGACGATGCAGACGACAAAGTTAGCGAGGGTTCTGCCCATGGGGGCAGGAAGCTTCTGGAGACAACGTGAGGCCACCAGAGGTGGAGCCAGAAGTGTGGAGAGACACGCCTCCCAACGATACTCAAAACCAAGAGACGCTATTGGACGAAAAGGAGAGCCGACTTGGTGCCAATGGCTGTTTTGGCCACCCGAGGGCATATGCCCGAGCGTGCATATGCCCAAGGGTGCATATGCCCAAAAGTGCATAGGCCCGAGGGTGCATAGGCCTGAGGGTGCATATGCCTGAGGGTGCAAACACCCAATGTGGCTCCAGGTGCATATGCCCGAGGGCCTAGACCACTTTTGGGCATATGCCCGAGGGTAGCCAAAACTTTTAAAAAAATGCTGTGCCTGGGGGAAAAAAAAAAGAATTCTAACTGGTAAGGACAGGCAGGTCTCAAAATAAATGTTTTTAGAAACAAAAAACAATTTTTTTTATCAATATTTATGTTACAGGGGAATTTTTTTTTTATTTGCTGGCAAAACTGAAACTGCACCCCTGTGGGATGATGATGATAGCGTTTGTACCCAACTTGTGTGCGCTCCGAGTTTGCCGGACCTCAGATCGCACACTACTAGTTGGGTACAGATGCTATCGTAGTCCCACAGAGGTATTGTTTTGGTTTCGCTCACAAATCGAAATCTTTTTATTGTGACGTAAATATTGGGCAAAAATTTTTTTTTTGGCAAATGTTTATTTGGAGTTTTAATTGTCCAAACCAGTAGAAATTTTTTTTTCTCTATGTTTAGTATTTAAAAATTTGACTCACCACGTGTGGCCAACACTTATTCCGGCGCATTTTAAGGGTAGTTTAGTGGCTGGAAACGCCGTATAGAACCCTGTGCTTTGACCTAGGCCTCTGTCACGATGTTGCAGCCCAAGAACCGGTGGAACAGGCTGAACTGCGAGCACTGCGAGTTCTTCACCCACCGCTACAAGCTCCTCACCAATCACTACGCGAAGGAGCACAAGGAGCACGCGCTGAGCACGTGTACGCAGTGCAACGCCGTGTTTGCACACTACGCCTTCATGCTCGCCCACCAGGTGCAGGTGAGTGGCCGAAGGACAAGAGGGAGAGTGGGCACATCTTCAAATGCGTAGCATTCGAGGGGCCAGGTCCATGGCATGGGGCCTCGACAATGTCGTCGAGGCTACATGTCACTGTCGTGTGACCCTACGAAGCTGTGTCTCGTCGCATGACGCTGCGACGCCTTTGTATATTCGGAAGAACCTCACACTGTGCCCTCAGTGTTGGGGGCACATTCCGGGAAAGGAATGGTACGAGGAGGCCATATAAGTGCCACACACTTAGGACGCCTTTGGGAACTGCCAGAGAGGTGGGCAATTTTTTTAACACTGTTGTGTTAAAGGGCAACTTCGCTCAATTCCGAAGATTTCGAGATAATGATTGATTTCGAATTAAGAAGCCCTAGTAAAACACACTACGTCGTTTGCTTCGCGAAAAATGGGATATATATTTTTAAATCTGATTTTAAACACAAGCGGAAATCGAAACCGAAACTTCGGCTCCGCCTGGCAACATTGGCCTCGGATCGCCAAGTACATTTCCATCACGTGGTACGAGATGTCACGTGATCCTCGGCCCAACGACGGGCGGTATTGGGGCGGGCGTGTGGCAGACGCGAGTGTCGTCTGCACCGCACTCTTCGCCACGTTTTGGTGTCTACGGCATTCGACGACGTCTGCACAACTGCTTCATAAGTGTGCGCGCACGTGGTGTCCATAGCGTGGACGAAACTCCGAGAGACAATAATCACAATCGGTGAGACGACGACGGCGGTTGTGACACGGAAGACGGCGGTAACGGCGGGACCACGGCGGGCGGCCGGACGGCTCCCAAGAAACGTGCTGCGCAGGCGCGTTACGCCAATCACGTGGACACTGCTGAGCGCCGAGAGGCAACGTTGCTGACGTCATGCGCTACGCTCGCCCGCAGAAGTGAAAACAAGCAAAAGGGGGCCATGTAGATGGCGTTTAGCTCAATGTTGGCTCCGCCCATGCCGTAGCCTTGACTGCGCTGTTGGTTGCACCTGAATTCGCCAGCTCAAGTCAGCCGATTTCGGCAACTTGGCGAGTTGCAAAGTTTGCCGGACCGTTTAAGAAACATTTAGACAGAACTGTGTCGTAAGATTTCACGTGTAGTCTTCCTAGGCGATACTGAAGAGGACTGCATTGTTTTTTCAAAACCAAAAATGAAGTGGAGTTGCCCTTTATTTATTTATTTATTTCAGATACCCTCAGGGCCAAAGGCATTAGAGAGGGGAGTGGGTACAATGTATAAGTATAAAGTTAAAAAATGCAGTGGTTATTAGTACAGTAAATTGACTCTTATTTGTACAATGTTAGCTAGGGCGTTGTTGAACTGCTGGGGATCTTTGATTGTTGCTGTCGGGGCGGGAAGGCCATTCCACTCCACTGATGTGCGAGGAAAGAATGACTGAAAAAAAGCATTAGTTCTACACGATGGAATCCCGACTTTATGAACATGATCTAATCTAGATGAGATGTATTGGAGGGGTAAAATATGTTCGGCGCGCAAGGAGGGATGAAGAAACAGTTTGTGAAAGAGACAAAGACGAGAGATTTTGCGGCGGGATGTTAGGGATGGTTGATCAAGGTTAGATTTCATTGTACTGATGCTTGCAGTTCTATTATAGTTAGACAATATGAAACGAACAGAATTATTTTGAACCATTTCAAGTGAGTGTATCAAGTTTTCGTGGCTTGGATCCCAAACCGAAACGGAATATTCGAGTTTAGAGCGAATGAGGACCTTGTAGAGTAGTAGTTTTAGGGATGAAGGTGCTTTAGCAAAGTTACGTCGAAGATAACCCAACATGCGGTTAGCGTTATTAATGACGTACGAGGTGTGAACGCTCCAAGTTAGGTTCGATGAAATGTGGACACCAAGGTATTTATAAGAATACCTTGGTGTCCACATTTATATATTTATAAGAATACTTTAAGAGGAAACTTTTTGTAGCGTTAGCTACGGTGGCCGAGGTTGAGCAGTTTAACGTGGCCCTCATAATGAGCCGTGCTCATTATGCGGAGCACACAGCGGCGGCGGCGGAGCTCCGCTTAATGAGCACGGCGCATGGCGCCGCGCGCTGCGCATAATGAGCATGCATAATGAGTGCAAGGCGGCGCTTCGCATAATGAGCACGGCTCGTTGTGAGAGCCATGCGAAGCCGCCGCCACGCGTTCCGCCGCCGCGCCAGCCTCGCCGGTCTGCGCATTCCAGAGGAGTGACGTCATAGCTGTGGCACACGCGCTGGCGCCGCTGTGTGCCCAGCTGTGCGCCTCCGTCGCGCAGTAGCCAAGTCTTACGCTGCACCGGAGCCGCTTGATAGTGCCTCTCATTTTGTGTGCATAAGCTCACGCTACGTATATCCTGGCATAGCCGAGCTAAGCCACTGCAATTTTTGTGTTATGCAAATTGTAACGTATAATTTTCCCGCTAAATTTAGCAGGGAAACAATGTGTTATGCTTCCCCACAACGCATAAAAAATCGAAAAACTATGCCTCACATTTTGTGCACGTGAGCTTTAACACAAAAATCAAATGCCGTAATTTTTTTTATATAGGTTGTATTAGTTGGTGCCAGTTTAAATTTATTTTTAGCTTTTATTAACTGGGGAGGGCGTCCCTAGATGTGACTCTATTTTGTCCTTGAAACAGGAAGTGGTCCGGAGACAGACACCACTTTTTTTGGGTGGAGGAATGCGTCGAAAAAACTAGAGCCGATTTTCGACCGAGGTTATGGGTAAAGTCCCATGTTTCTGGGGTTTATTTTTCTTCATATTGGGGGGAGGGGGGTTGCTTGGGGTTTATATTATCCAACGGATTCTGTGTTTTTTTTTTTTGGTGCTAATCCTCGGTGTCGGACTTGAAATCGGTATTAGCGGAAAAATTTGTCACGTGCCCTATGCATGAATTCAGTTTCCCCCTTAAAAGGGCGGTGCAACAATATTCAATCGGAATGTTTCTCACTTTACACGAGCTTACTGGCACTAGTGGGACTCAAGGATACTCGCATGCAACACCGCTGGCGAAGAACTCCTTTGTTGCGGTGTAATTTCAACGACAAAAGTGACCGTTTTCTCATCCAATCTACGCAAAACTTAATGATGTAGCTGGGCGGTCCCAGCACCGCCCAGTGGCAATATTTGAATGCGGCTCATAGATTGGACCCGAGCATTGCGTGGGCACTCGATTTGGGCTCGTGATAATCTATAGCTCGAGAAGCATTCGGGTAGCGACCTGTGTCTAATTGCTGTAATGACGACAATGGCCAAACCATAATATTGTGTGGAACTCAGCGCGTGTCCTGTGCTTTGCCAACCTCAGCACGTGGCTATAATCAACATTGGCAGCATATAATTGGCTCCTGATCATGTGGCCCCTAATTCTGGCTGCGAGTTGAGGGGGTGAATGCTGCTCCTTTTTTACAGCGAAGCTGTTAAGGGCAAGGTTCCCCAGAATCGTGTCCGGTACCAAACAAATGTCGACACAAACCTACACAAACCTCTAGACAGCTACCGCCGTCGCTCATAGATGGCGGCAACCTTTCCTGCTATCATAAAAGAATGGATAGTTGGGTGAGTTGATGGGAGTTCATCGTCAGAAACAGCGCGAAAAACAGACGAGGACGAAGAAGAAACACACGTGACGAGCGCAGCGCAGCGTTTCTTCTTCATCCTCGTCTGTTTTGCGCGCTGTTTCCTACTCCCTTATCAGTTTCGGTTTGGAGTCAGGATAGGTCAGCCGCGTGCCCTTTCTTCGGGGAAACAAGACCGGGTGTGGAAGGAGCGGCGACGTACGCAGCAGCGTGAATGGGCCCGCAACCACCAGAAAGCCGCTGTCGCTTCGAGTTCCACTGCATAGCGCCTTAGATTCTCTTGCGAAAGAAGAGCAGATCGCTCGCCTGGAAACCCGCCGCCGAGAACAGAAGCTACGGCTCTACTGCTCTTCCTTCTTCACCAGAGTGGAAAGTCTGAAAGTTTCTTTCATTTCTTTCTGCGACGTCTATTGCATGGTAAAAAACAAACAGGTGTTTGACAGGTCATCCCTTCTAAGCAACATTTGCAAAAAGTACAAAAATTGTAGCATTGCCCCTTTAAATTTGATGGAAAAATTAATGTCACAGGACCCGACGTCACGGGACCTACAGACAATTCAGGTTCCCCGCTAAATTTAGCAGAAAACTTGTCGTCACGCGACCTATGCATTAAATCAGTTTCTCCGCTAAGTTTGGTGATGATATGACGATCGTCATCGTCATATCGTCGGAGAAGCAGCACAACTGCTGCTGTTTAAATGCATCCTGCCGTGTGATCGTCCCCCAATTTTTTTTCTCGTCCTGGATCGTGGATGTGCGGAAGCGGCACAAAGTCTCGAGGGACCCAGAAGTCGAGGCGTTGCTTTGGCGAAGCAGGGACCAGGACTTGGGCATGAGCATGTGCTCGGTGAGGCAAAAACCTTTAGGAGTATTCGCAAGTCAAGCCCGTCATTTGTGTCTCTTGAAGCTCTCTCGTGAAAACACAAGACTTCGTAACCCACCGTTAATATCTAATGCGTAAAAATGAACACCGTCTCAACTTCTTTGTACTTCAATGCAACAAGAAACAACATGTTATTCCTTTACATCATACACCAGATCGAAATTTTAGTGCAAATATCAGTTTCGCGCTTTTTGAGTGAATAGTCACACGACGCAAACCGCACGACCACGTCACGTGCTGCGATCTCATGACGTCGCATCACGGTGCAGCACATTATGTCACACAACGCAGCCTCGTGCGTTGTGTCGCACGTCGTGACTTCGAGTCATCTTAGTTCACCTAATTTGTCACATTATATTTGTGTCTGTGTCACGCTAAGCTAGCGTCGCTTAAAGCGCACTCCGTCTTGTGCGGCTACCAACTTCGTCCACAGGACTACATCAGTATCTTTTAGTTCATCCCGTAGCATTTGGAACTTGTGTTGGATCTCGCAATGAAAGTTCATAAACGTATGACAGCTCAGTGGCTCGCGTTGGATTTGTGCAGGTGCACTTCGATCCGGAAGATGCCCACACCAAGGAGTGCAGCTTGTGCAGCACTCAGCTGGAGAGTGTGGATGCGCTGCGTGACCACGTGCTGGCAATCCACGCCGCGGCACTGATCTATCGCTGCATCGAGTGTCATGAACGCTTCATGACTCTGTCCATTCTCCTTCAGCACAGGTGAGAAGGCGGCTTGTTTTTTTCATCTCCTGAATAAATGGTTACAGCACTGGCTAGAACACGTGTACTAGTCTCATTTCGCACAGTTACTCTTTAAAAATAATATGAGAGCTGACTTTTTTTTTTTTTCATTCCATTTATTTTATTTTAATGGCACCATGTCCTCGAAGAGAAAGGCCCACGTCTCCGCCTCAAAGTCTACGATGTTCTGCCTAGACGGCCTCTTTGTTTTTTTCTTAGGGGTCAGCTTGCTTGCCCGGAAGAACAAGGCCGAACGTTCGCACAACGCATCCCTGAACGATTTTGTCCACAACACGTCGGCAGGTTGCAGTATTGATGTGCAGCCGCCTGGTATCAGGGCTATGTCTGTGTCCCTGGCGTAGAGAGCTCCTCAGGCAGCCTCAGTTTTAGGAATCTGCGCCTGGACCAACACAAAGAGCCCTCTCACGTCGTCGACGTTCGGTCCCCAGACCCTGCGTACCCACTCTTGCAGGACAAGAGAGGTCATCCGCCCGTTTCTAGATGATGTGACCTGCACATTTCCTGAAAAGAATACCAGTACAAAATTAATTGACAACTTTGAACTGATTGACTTACGAAAGCGCATGCCATAAGAAAGCACAAAGGCAACAGGCGTCAAACACGACCGGTGGATAAATGCTGCCTACCTACTGGGCGTACCTAACCGCCTGACCATAGAAATTGGATGGTAACTGTGCCATCTTTTGCGACTATGGCGAAGCAAGACGAAATTGGCATGGCTTTAGGTTAACTAATAATGCCACAATCTAACTTTTTTTTCTTTTTTGCAAGTCCGAAGGAGTGGTTTATGGTGGGGCGGTTTCTGTCTTGCGTAGTTCTAACCTTGTAGTAACCTATATCTATGGCAGAAAAAATTAAAAAACAACATACCTGGAATCTTGAGTGTAAATAGTGCTTCAAGGGTATCCGGCCTGTTGGCTCTTTAAGCACGATCAACGCTGGAATCTTGACTCCCGCTGCCATTGCACATAAAGCCACGGTCATTCCTTGCCGGGCACAGCCGGTGTTGGTGATTCGGATAGTTGAATCGCCAATAGCGTTGTTCTTTCCTGTTGTTGGACAGTCCATTCGCACCATACAGTAGTCTGGTCCATATTGGCAATGTTGGAATCCGTATAATCATGCTCCGGGCAGAGTCGAAACAGCCTCTTTGATGACCACAATCGCTTCAGCGTAGTCAGCAGGCAGCTTTTGACTTTCGTTTGTCCCAACCCGCATGGACACTTTGTAGTGCCTTTTCCAACGAGCGATGTACTGGCACGATGCTTGAAAGTTGCCTAGACCAATCTGTGCCGTTAGCTGTCGCATGTGCTTTTGGAGAAGCCGGTTGCTGACGGCTTGACCGGCTGATCTCTCAGTCTCCAGGAAGCCCATCAATGCGTCGTCAATTTCTCCACTGAAAACGGGTCGTCTGGTACCCATCATTCTCTTTAGCCTGGTCTTTCCATGGCACTGCTGCACGAGCACTTGGTATTTCGTGTTCCATTCCCGTACACGCTTCCTGTCAACCTCGAAGTGGCATGCAGTCTTGCTCAAGTTGATTCCGTTCTTGGGTTCCCACTCCACGATTTCCACCTTCTGGATGGTGTAGCTGGACCTCATCCTGGGACCGCAGGAGACACGTCTTCACAGATCGCTGGCAAATCGAGGAATGAGATTGCCAGGTCAGTCCAAGCCAGTTTTCCCTTACAATTATCAGTTCGGACAATCGGATGCAGGGGCACCGAAAGACTGACCTTGAACATTTGTGGAGTTTTGCCCCCTCTCCACTCTAGTCCTCAAAAACGTGACTTCTTCCCTTTGCACAAAAAAATTTCGGTGGCATAGCTCGGCTATGCCAGGATATACGTAGCGTAAGCTTAGGTTCAGCTGGTTATTCCTAGATTTCCTGGTTGTCTAGGATTAGCTTGATTATCATGCTTACTGCTGCTTCAATGGCACACACACGGTATATGCATTATGTGACTACTTCGGGACCTGATGACCTGTGCGCCGTGTTGCTATGTATCAAGCAACCAAGCTGCCGCCCAGAACAACCGGACAGCGTGAACCATGATCTTGAGCAGGTGCATGCGTGCGGCGCGTGCATCGGGGACTGACCTAGGCGCCATACCAGACCTGCCCGTTCCGTCACCGCTCCTCGTGCATGCGCAGCACGGCTCTCCAGGAGCCACGCTCAACCTCGGCCAGTGTAGCTTACACTACAAAAAAGACTACTTGCGCTTTTTTGACTTGTGGGAATCGCTATTTCTAGAGGGTGAGCGATGTATCGGCAGAGTGACTGAAATAGATATTTGGGCAACAAAGGGGGGGGCCATCGATCAGGGGTGGTTGCCCTTTCGAGATTTTACGGTAGTGTTGCATTTTATAGGTTTTGATTATGTTTCCATAAGCCGATTGCAATAAATTTGGTGTTGTTGTTTTCAGCAACAACTGAACTGCACCCTAAAGCTTTTCTTTTTTCTCTAGACTTGATATATAAAAGTGCCAAGATTGGAGAAACTTCAAGTGCGATTTTCTCAGCTTTGTCTTTTTTTGTCTAGAGCCGTTGTCTTACGGAAGTTTTCACAATGTTTGCATGGGTGGATTTCAGTAAGCTTGGTATCATTGTTTTTAGTAACAACTGAGGTGTATCCTAAAGCTTTTCTTTTTCGTCTAGAATCAATAGATCAAAAGGAAATAGCTGAAACATGGATTATCTAGTGACAAGTTTTTGCTTTGAAATTCCATGATTTATTTCTGGTAAACAAAATCGCTTTATAAACATTCAATTAGCTTTAGGATATATGGTGAACCCTTGGAAATCACTGCATATTGTTAAAATATAAATGTTTTGATGTGAAATTACCATAACGACCTGTAAGAAATTACCTTATTGGAATTTTATATTTTGCATATCTTTAGTTCTAAAAGAGATATCTGAAATTCAACTGCAGATTTGGAATCACCATCCAGTGATACATATGCATGCCAACTTTCAGCAAGATATCTCGATAAATAAAAAAATGTATATAAGTACCCTAGTCCCACCTTAAGGGCATAGTTTTAATTAGAATCTTGCCGAGCATCATCGAAAAACACTAAATCAACAAATTGCAGAACGATAGATGGCACATGCAGTACTTTGCGGCTTTTTAAAAAACTGCACAACTTCGACAGGTTTTTAAGTTTCGGCTTGCAATCTGAGCGCCTCTCGGCACCGACGGCAATGCAACTTGTGGAGAAATAGGGGAACCAGCCTCTGCTGCGTTGTGTGCAGAGGCTGGTTGCACTATTTCTCCACGAAGCGTGGTGCTGTCAGTGCCCAGAAGCGTTCAAATTGCAAGCCGAAAATTAAAGCCCGTTGAAGTTGTGCGGTTTTTTAGAAAGCTGTAAATCTTCAGAACAGTTTGTTCTGAAGATTTGGCATCTGGCTCGGACCACTAGTGCTACAATTGGGCAGAGACTCAGCATTCTGCGATGCATAGTTCATTCTTGCAATTAAAACAACTTTTTTTTCCTTTGGGGCCATTTGGTACATTAATTTTCAGAATTTCCATTCTTGTGACTCCTTCCCTTCTCCCTGTTGTGCAGGGAAACCTGACTGGTCACTATAACAGATGCAGTTTCTCACCTATTTTAGAAGATACAGTAAAACCTCGTTATAACAAAGTTGAAGGAGTGATCGTAATTATTTTGTTATAACCATTAGTTTGTTATATCCCATTTTGTTATAACGAGGTTTTACTGTACATCGATTTTAGGAAGTCGCAGTCTGCGGATGACTAAGGAAATTTTGAAGGCTTTTTTATTTCCGTTTTTATGTAAAAAGATAGATGTTTTCATCTCCAGGTTTAATGTTGGTATGCATTTCTTCAAAAGAAATAGGGAAGTTGGCACTTTGTATGTGTACCCGTCGTCTTGTCCTTTGTTTTTTAGCGCTGTTCTCTCTTTACTTGATTGAAATGTACAGTGTGCTCAACTGTTAAGTGTAACGCACGAGTAGTGGCTTGGGAGACTGCATGCGTCATATGCTGGCACAGTCTGGAAGGTCACACCGCAGTTCTTTTCTAGTGCTACAGTCCCAGTTTCAAAGCGGTGACCAACGTACGTTACAGCAATAAAAAACATTTCTTTACAGCGAAGGTGTTAAGGGCCTTGTTCCCCACCCACTATTATGTTAGCGGACAATGATATGTTGACATAAAACTTCCATTGGTCGTGGCAAGTATGAATAAATAAAAATAAAAAGAGAGGTCAAGTATGAATAAATAAAAAGAAAAAGAAGGGGCAACTGGCGTGGGTCAGCCTTCCTTGGCATTATTAGATAGCGAGGTCCTGATCCCTTGTTATCATCTCTAGGCATCGTCCTCGTGGTCGTCCTAGAAGTCGTCCTCGAGTTCGTCCTAGCAGTCGTCCTCGAGTTCGTCCTAGGCGTCGTCCTCGAGGTTGTCCTAGAGGTCGTCCTAGATATTGTCCTCGAGGTCGTCCTAGAAGTCCTTCACAAGGTTGTCCTAGAAGTTGTCCTTGAGGTCGTGCAAAAAGTCGTCCTTTAGGCATCATCCTAGAAGTCATCCTTGAGGTCACGTCGTCTTAGAAGTCATCCTCGAGGTCGTCCTACAAGTCGTCCTTGAGGTCATCCAAGAGGTAGTCCTCGAGGTCGTCCTAGAAGTCGTTCTTGAGGTCGTCCTAGACGTCGTCCTCGAAATTGTCCTGGACGTTGTAGTGATAAGAGCTTAGCTGGTCCTCCATCTTCTCGTGAAGTGGAAGGGCTCTACAATTTTTTTTTACGTTCTTTTTTTTTTTATTAAAAAAGTTGCACATCAATTGGACTTGGGCGGCACCTCATGACAAACATGTCACGCCAACCTATGAAGAATGATAACAGCAATGCACCCCTAGTCGAATTGTGAACTGAGAAACAAAAAATACCATCAAAAATAAAACTGGGGGCGACAAAAAAAGAAACCAGGTGTCCACACAGTGATTATGTTGGCAAGTCTCAACAGTCATGGGAGGAGCCGCTTAAGTGTTTGCAGTGTCATCAGTTTTCTCGTTAGCAGCTCTGTCATCAATTTCAACCACTGCTCGCGCATTATATTGAACAGTTGGGCACACTGTACTGCCGGAAGAAGTTGTTTACATTGCCGATGATCGACTTTACTACGTATTACAGCAATTATGTAGTGAAGCATGTTTCTCGCTTGTTTGTGTGTGTTTTCTTAAGTTTTCATTTATGTACTCTCGTGCGCGATGCCTGACAAAAATTGCTAAGCAATTGTGTTGCTCACGTGAAACATTCTAGCATCAGAAACGTTTAGTGATACTTAGAGTTTCCAGACGCCAGACACCTACGTTCACGGCACTCTTCATGAGATAGTTTAACACGTACCATGCATACTCTTGATGGCCATTCCTAGAATGAAGCGATACTACCGCTAATCGGACTGATGAAGCTGACCATTTCTCGAGCTCCTGTCTCTCGGTGCACATATGTGGTCTACCTCCACCTTGCCTACATCACTCCTTCTCGTTTACCTCTGGTCACATGACCTCCCTGCGAACCAATCGGCGTCAAGCACCTTGCTCCTCCTCCCCCATCCGTCAACCAATCGGTGTAGAGCCTCGCGGTCACGCTTTTATCCGGGCTTCACTTTTAAGCTTCACGAAATGCCAACCACCTAGCCAAAATATGTTTCACGTCAATGACCGTGCAGGGAGGAGAAGCACAACCCGAAGTCCCGCAAGTGCCCCGAGTGCCCCAAGGAGTTCAGCACGTCGGTGGCGTGCCGCCGCCACGTGATGTACACGCACTACAGCTCGCGCCTGCGCTTCCCGTGCAAGTACTGTTTCCGGCGCTACAAGGACCTCCTCAACCTGCACTACCACATGGCACTCTCCCACATACGTGAGCAAGCTCCAATCGTGTCTTGGATGCAGCGTTGGGAAGTACCTTAAGTACATACATTGTACAGTACTACTTCTAGTAGGTTTAGAAAGCTTGTACTTTACCTGAAGTACATTCTCTGAGTATGTACTTGTACTTTACTTAAAGGGACGCTGAAACACTTATTGCCAAAAATGAGAAGGGGATCCTAGCGTAGTTTTATCCCGCGAATCTGAATATCATGTTTATTTTCCCCGAAGATGACTTAACGCGAGAAAAAACTAAAAACCTCCAACCAGTCATTACGTCATAAGAGGACCTTTCGGCCGCCAAGCGCCTGTTGCTTGAGGGCTGCGCGTGTAATAGACCCTTTCCGAAATTCAGTGCCATCTGGTGGTTCGTAAAGCAGTTTGGCTTTTGCCATATCAATGGCGGAAATGCACTTGTATCGGCACCGTCACTTTTGCTAGTCAACGGCACGCGAGGAATTCTTGAGTGTGAGTTTTTTCGATCACTTTCAGTTCGATGGTGACCAAGAACCTATATTCAGAACAAAGCTCCAAACCACTCAGATGCTTCGGGAAAATTCTATACACCAAAATGCTTTAAAGCCTATTGTGTGCCGCCCGCAGATTGACTGAATCTGAGTTATTAGAAATAAACGCTTACGTAGCTCTTGTGTTTCATTCCTACGTCGCGTCGTACTGACCCCCTGAATGTACAGGTTTCGCATCATCCGCTCAGAAGCATCTTCAACGTCTTCCTTTATGAGTCGCTAGAAGGTTGCCATTGGTATGGCACAGATGCCTTTCCACAGATGATGATAGCGATCAAAGTGGCCAGACTGAATTTCGGAAAGGGTCTATTGCAAGCTTGCCAGGTACATTCCCCCGCACTGGCACCAGTCGTGACGTCTTTTTCTGCCCGTTCTAAAGGCAGCAAGAGTGCGCATGCATAGCTTTGATAGGCACTGAAGATGTGCGAGTGAAGATTCCAAAAACTCCTTTTGTGACACCATGCTTTGGGAGGGAAGGCATTCAGTGGTACTTTGAAAATTATTTTCTGCAGCTTCCATGTACCAAATTAAAAAATAATTTCGATATTTGAGATCCTGGAGGTTAAATGGAGACAATTTAAGTCTGTTTCCTCAAATACAAAACCGCTTCAGCTTCCCTTTAAAGTATGTTTTGTGGTACTTTCCGAGGAAAGTACAACTCACGACTTGAAAGTACATTTCCCAAATTTGGTCTTGGTGAAAGTAAGCTCTTTCAAGAACCACATGCTCACGTCCTTGACTTTCCCAGTACCATACACAACTTCTGAGGTCTAGTATAAGTTCACCAACCTTCAACAAAAAAATGACATACTTTTCCGAAAGTTGGAGAACATGCTGTCACACCACGCTGACGGCAGGGCCATCTATATTCATGTGAAAAAACACTATCTTCTTTTGAGATGTCATCCGGTCATTTTTCTGAGTGAAGTAATGGCGGCTATAAGACCGTTACAAATAGGTGCCTTATAAGTTCATTGCGTTAAATAGTTCTTAAGAGGATATCGCAGCTCCCGAGCCCTTTGCGATTCCAATGGCAACTTTTTAGTCTTTTTTCTCAGCAACCACCGAATGGATTGAGTTGTGAAAGATTTTACAGTCGACTCTCATAAATTCAAACTCTCTTGATTCAAACTTGCAGATAATTCAAACTAACATGCAGGTCCCGTCCTATGTGTCTCCCTATCGGAGGAAACTCCTGGTAATTCAAACTTTCCTTTATTCAAACAAATTTTCGATCCCCCTCGAGTTTGAATTAACGAGATTCGACTGGATTAGAAAGATAATAAAAAACTGGGTACTATTATGGCGCTACATTTCCCGATCTTAGAGTTTAAAAATTTTTAATGGGAACTTTAACTTTAACTTGAAGTTGCTTGAAAAAGCCCTTTTTTCGTTTTGTTCTTGATGAACTTTTAAAAATAAACCAGGGCCTAAATACGAATTCAGGTGCCATAATATTGAAGACCAAGACTTTTTTAATATACTTCTTGCAAGATCGTTTTTTTCCAGAGATTCTCATTGTGATAAATTTGAACAAAGTTTGTAGCCCATCAAAATGTCACAAATGCAGCTGTCAGCTGGCGCCATTATGAGTGTGTCGGCAATACTACCTCTTGAAATTGTGCAATGTGTTATTGCGCCCTGGACTGCTTGCGTTTTCAAGGTCGGTCGGCTTGCGGTTGGGAATTTGAGGGAAAAACTCCTAACAAAACAAGCTTTTTTTTTTGTTTGTTTGTTTGACGGGTAAGATATTATTTTGTCTGTAGCGCGGGTCTTTGTTGGTGTATTGGGGTCGCACAAATGCAAGTGAAAGGTTTCTTTTTTCTTTTTCATTCTTTGTTTGGTGACGAAGGTGATTTTGCTGTTAGTGAGGGTGCCGTGTGGGTCATAAGTAGGATTCTGTGTTTTTGGAGTTTATTTCTCGTGAAATTTGAAGGGTGTTTTTCAGAGTTTATTTTCCACTGGGGATTCCGGGTTTATTGGAGTTTATTTTTGTTAGATTTCAAATTCTTTGAAATTCTGAGTTTATTTTACTGCGTAAAATTTAAACAATTCTAAATAAGAATAAATAAGGTCCAGGTACCATGACCCGTTGTTTTGAAGGAACCTCGACGCGCTAAAAGGCAAACCCCTTTTTTCAGTAGTTATCATTTTCAAAGGAAACTGCAGTGGAATCTCCTCACGACCACTGACCTAACCACTGAAATTCAGAGTTTTCCGGATAAATCCGAATGACGGAAAAGTTTACCAGCAAGTGTTTTTCGGATTTTTTTTTTCCGAAAACATGGAACCCTAGTCATAAGACGTCAGTCGCCCGAGCGCATTGTTCGGAGGATGTTCCGTTCTTTGTTGGCGTTTTGGGTCACGAAAATGGGGGCGAAAAATTTCACGCTTCAAGCGGTCCTTGCGTGAGGGCTGAAGTTAGCAACTGCAGGCAGACAAAAGCTATTGAAGCATCAAAGGTCGATACTGTCTTACCCCTTCTTTCTGTTCGCAGTAGGACAGGTGATTAGATCTAGTGATTTTAAATTTTCTGCAGAGAGGCATTTCAAAATGTTAGCATATTTTAAATGCGGAAGAAACTTACATTAGTTTGTTGATTTTGTTTTAATTTCGGCATTCTCTTTGCATATCAAGTTTTGGAGGCTGATTTCTACCGTAATAAAACAAACATTGCGAAAATTTATTCAATGAAGCTAAAAATTTGAAAAAAGCCTTTTGGTAGTAGGCGTCACACGTTGCTACAAAATAAGTTGGTGGCCTAGTTGGTTGAGCATCTTAAAAAAATATTAGCACGAAAAAGAAAGGACAAGAGAGGACAGGACAGGACAAGTGCTTGTCCTGTTCTGTCCTCTTGTCCTTTGTCTTTTGCGCTAATATTTTTTTATGATGTCACACATTGCTATTTGGAAGTTCTGAAAGTCTCGTGCTGAAGATTCTTTGTTCGACCCCAATAAACACGCTTTTGATTCGGTAATTTATGAAATAGAGGCGAATATTTTAGACAGTAACTCGCGCACCTTTTATTGTGGTTTTCATTGATTGCTCTGTCCTGGCTGCGATGAGCCCTTGGTCGGCTGTCGCTGATGGGCGGCGGAGAAAAGCTCACCAATGAAGTGCTCACCGCAAAACCGACAAATGCGGAGAAAAGCTCATTTACAAAGTATTTTATTCAATATTTAAAATTTAATATTCTCGGCATTTTTTGCACTCCGGTGTTTATATTTAAAACTCACGTCCGCACTCTCCCTACCGGTGATGCTGCGTTTTTTGCGTGTTCGTATATTTGCAAAACCAAGTGTTCTCGGTCAGCCCCAGATAAATAGCTTACTTTCTAAGAAAAATGGGGAAGAGGCAGACGAATCCAGTTTTGCAGAATGCAAACAATAAAAAAAGTGGGGGAATTTTTTTTTCTCTGTTAGCTTTTACATGGAGACAGGACATTGCCTAAAAGTTGAGTCCTGCAAACAGCAACAATGTGAACTCCGTCTCTGTGTCCGACGGCTACAGACCTCCCAAAAAGTATCAAGTCCGTCTTAAGCCACGTCACCGAAAGAGGTCATTGGTTACTACAAAGCAAAACAAAAACTGAACATAATATCTTTATCCTTTGGATGCAAAGAAAAAACATATTTGCGAAAATGAGGAACAATCTGGCCAGGAACCATATTGTTTGATAAAAAGGCATTCTATGAAACGGCTTCAGTGTAATTGGGTTCAATTAAATGGTGTTCAATTAAATTGCTTTGATAGAAGGGAGTTTGGTAAAATATTGAGAGCTGCGAAGAAATAATGTTAGACCGGTTCGCAGAGGTGAGCTTTTCTACGCGTCTGTCAAAAGTCTGGTGAGCTCTTCTCCGCATCCGCCGGTTTTTCGGTGAGCTTTTCTCCGCCGGAGAGCAGCACACTACCAAGAAGTTCACTGGAGAGAAGCTCGCCAAAAAAAGTTCACCGCAAAACAAACAGATGCGGAGATAAACCCACCGAAGAATCATACAATCTACCTTTTAAATTTAGTATTTGCGACTCTACTCTGGAGGTCCTGTGGGGAATACTAATGGAGATATATACAAAATTTGTATATTACAGACACCAATAGGGATGAAGAAGCAGAATTCAACAGTTCTGCAGGATGGGAACAATTAACAAAGCGATAGACACGTCTTTTTGATATGAAGGCATTGCCCAATGTTGAGTTCTATGAACAGTAACGAAGCGACCTCGTCACTGCACGCGACAATCACAGACAGTCCCCAAATTGTGTCAGGATCGTATAGTCTTTGGCAACATCAACACCAGAGGTCGCAGGTTTCTACAAAACAACAACATAAAAAAATACGGAAAAAAATATTGCTATTCTCCAGATTCTAAAAGAATGCCATTTCCGCAAACGAGAATCATAGGTAAGTTTCCACCGCATTCATCAAGAGGCTGGTGAGCTTTTCTCCGCATCGGTCGGTTTTGCGGTGAGAGTTTCTTCTATTAGCTTTTTTTCCGAGATTCGTGACTATGGCATCAACCTGCACCTTTTTTTTTTGTTTTTTTATATTGGAACCACAAAAGATCACACGTGCCTGAAATACGATGCCGGTTTTCAGTCATCATATTTTCACAAAGCGAGGCACCTGGAACCGGACATTTTATTTAACGCCGTCTCATTGATTGCGTCATAGGTTTCTGCCAATAAAATTTGAAAATTTATATTTTCTTTGCAATTATTAAATCTTGCAAACTATGAAGTCATTTCTCATTGTCCTCTCGTACGACAAACGCTTAGTTGGCGCGATGGAGGACACGCCTGGGGTTGTACCCAAGCAAATGGATTCGGGGTTTCCACCACCTCCCGCCTCCACCAGGCAACCCCGAATTTTTTTTTGTTTTTTTTATTTAGCAATTTTTTATTTTTTTTTTGCTAATAGGTTTTTTTGTGTAAAAATACCAGCGAATTGTTGCAATTGGACATTTCGGTATGGGACGACCACTTTTTCAATGAAACGGCGTTCGATGGAATGTCCTGGAACCCTATGCATTTCCTGTTTTTTCTTTACTTCCGGGTTATTTTCTCGATTATTGCTTTGGTCGACGACAACTCAGGCGCAACTTTGTTACCCCCCCCCCCCCCCCCTTTTTTTTTCTCCCTAAAGAAAAACCGACAAAACACAAAGAAGTTCGAGACTATTCGGAGTGCCATACAACGACGCGTACCCCAGCCACTAGCCTGTGGACCCCCTCTAATTCTCTTTGAGAATAGCGCTATCCCCAGGGGGAAGGGGGAGTCGGCCAGAAACCGAAACTAAGCTCATTTTTGCTGGAATTTCGACTGTATCCGTATATGCATCAATCTCATGTTTTTAAACTGGAATCGGTCATATTATGCGAGAAAAAACACTGCAGAGGTGGGGCCGCGGTACATGGCCTCAAAGCTTTACTTATACGCAAACATTCCACTTTATCTCAGTTTCTCTTGACATAGAATTGGCTAATTTAGAAAAACAAAACAAAAACCTCTTTACCTATGACCTTGTAAAAACAATACTCACATGACCCAAAAAAGCACCCAGCACCCCTTGACGCTGTTACTTGGTGCAACAGCATTTACTTATTTGAGTGATTTGCGGTGGCGGCGTCTCATCCGGGCGAACAAAACAAAACAACAACAAATGCTGTGCTTGGAAAAATATGCTGGGGCCTTAGTGGCAATTCAGTTTTACAAAGTGATTAATCGGAACACGTAAGTATAAAGGGGGGACACTACTCAGAAAAGTCAACTTCTCTACCGCTTGCTTGATTTCAATCAAATTTAGGGTGGTAGTTTATATGAGTGGCAGGCCCATTCCTGCCAAATTTCATTGTCCCATGCCAATTCTGAAATTTGTTACGAATGTTACAATATGGAAGTCAGTGTGTTCGCTTAGGAAAACTATTGTTTTAAAATTAAATAAGAATTCATGATTTTTATGTGTAATATAGTCATAGGAATACCAATAGCACATACCCAGCTAGTTATTTTGCTATATTGCATTGTTTTTCATAAGTATAACTCCATAACAAAAAATTAACTTTTTTTTTTTGTCTGAGTTTTTTTACAATTGTAGTTTTTTTTAGCTTAGAAGGATGTTAAAGTAGAAAGACTAACCAGCCAGGCATGTTCCTCACAAAATTCTATCCCAGAAAACCATGTAAGAATAATTTTCTACTATGTAATAGGAAAACGATTGTTTTCCTAAAGGAAAACTTATGCCGAAAAGTGGAACGGAGAAAAATGCATTCGAAGTGCTCCAACCTCTGCCTTTTAGCATCGGTGGACCGAAAATAATTTATTAAAAGTTAACCATGCAGTGAAAAATGATAAAACTTTCTGGGAATACTCTAGATATTGGTGGATGTAAATATGGCATTTTTTCAAAATCAACTTTTTTTGCAGAAATCTTTTTCTGGGTAATGTCTCCCCTTAAGCATAGCTTTGTGACATTATAACTATGGTTTGATCAGTATGTATACAAGACGCAGCACTCTCTAAACTTGTGGTTATTGATTTTTTGGCATTTTGGCTGTGCAACATTACAGGTCTGATTCTGTGCCATTTAGAAATCGCAGACTGATCTAAAAATCGGTGTGATCGTTGAAACCCGGTGCTCTGGAAAAATGCTTGGACTTTAATGGCTGCTGATAGTATAGCAAACTGGTTCATATCAATTCTTTTTTAGCACAAGGAGATCGGACACTTTTTTGAGTGAGTAGTTTTATTTTTCAAAGCACTGCTTCGCGGAGATGGAAAGTAGATTCGAGGGGCCGCGCTTTAGGACGCAATGCCATTTTGACTTGTGGTAGATTATTTTACAACATTATAACACGACACATGGCATATTTTGTTTTGTAATGACGATATGGCATATTTAGTTTTTGTAATGATGATATCAACAGTCTACACATGATATTTGTAAATCGTATCGTACAAACAATCTCAGAACATGAAATAGCCGAAGAACCAAGCCAAATGAATCCAAAATATCAGGCAACGAAATGAGGCCTTCTCTAACTACATATTTTGCTTCCTAATCCGGTAAGAATGGGACAAAGGGCCCCTTTTGCAATGGCCTCGGAAGCCCACAACCCTCCCCGCTAACCTCTTGTTGAACTACAGAGCAAAAAACAAAGCCATTCTCGTAGCTCGCAGGGTGGGTGGATGGGATGGTTCAAGCCGTCCGCTGATAAATGGAACAAAAAGACAAGCTTTTTTTTTATTTTTATTTGGAAGTACCACTATATCGCATAAGCAGATGAATGGAAAGGCTTCCTCCCCAGTGCCATCTGGATTCTGGAAAAGGTCCTGTTGGAGATGAAATTCTACTGCGATATCCTCTTAAGCCAGAGTAAAACAACTACTCTTCGGCCACTTGACCTTATAGAAAAATTGGCCACCATTTCCTGAAATAACTGATGCACCACTTTTATCTTTGGGTCAATGCATATTAGTTAGAAAAACACTGTATAGGGGATTGGAAGGACATCATGAAAGATTGGGTTTAATGTACTTGTACTTTACTTTGAGAGGACTTTGTATTTGGAGTACTTTACTTCAAGTACATTGCACCTGGAATACTTACTATACTGCTTGAAGTATGTAACCTCTTACTTAATTTGTGCTTCAAGTACTTTTTAGGTGCACTTTACTCAATGCTGGTTGATTGGCAGCAAGGTTCTGCGGTGGGTCCTGTGTGCGTTTTGCGTACGCCTTGGCATTGCGACCTCACTATGTTGCGTGAGGTCGTATCGCACGACGTCACAATTTTCCCGACAAATTTAGCGGATAAATTTGCCCTCTAAATTTAGCGGGGAAATGTCTCGCTGTATTTGACGGCGACATTGCTTCGCTAAATTTAGTGGGCGAGTAGCCTCGAGAGTATCTCGTCGTGATGAACCGGTGCTCCCATGTGACATTTCAGTGTTCTGCAACTAAATTTTTAACTCCGGCATCAAGGTTTGCAGTCCCCTAGTGTTCAACATCTGGTAAGCGTGAATAAGCAGATTATATATTGCCTGGGGATAAACCCTTCCCTGTTTGCTTTTTTAGGGGTGGTGCCACTTGGTTGAGGAGAACAAAAGAGTGTGGGCGTTGTGACGAGCTTTATGCAAGACCCAGTGCGTCTAAACATTAACTTTTTCCTGTTCTATGCTTTTTCAGAGTAAGGTGTTTATGTTAAACGCTAGTTAGCCAAACCAGGAAAAAGAACAACGCAGAGAAACATTGGCTTCGCTCTATCTCTTGTGCACTTAAATGCAATGCCCCCTAAGGTCTGCTATACAAGAAAACAGTTTTTTCCTACAATTTAAAGGTCAGGGTACTGCCCTTTTGTTTTTGTTGATTGTTTTGTTTTTTTGTATTTTTCAGACGAGCTGAGTGAAGAAGAAAAGGTGAGAACTACTTTTTCTTCAGCATATGGTTATGTTTTGCATGCCGGTTGTATCAGCAGTAGTAGGTGTATGTGAAATAGCATAAGTGAAATGCCACTTTAGAAGGCAACTGCAGTCAATATTTTTGAATTTGGGATTATGACTGTTCTCAGCTAAAGCAGTGTCTTTGAAATACAAGGTATAATACTTTTTTTTCGATGTTGTGTTAGTTTTTTAAATATCATGGCTCAAAATTTGGTTCTGGGTTTCTACGGCAGAACCGTAACTGTCTACTAGAGGGACGGCAACACTGATCTTCAGCCGTACAGCCGCGATGTGATGTCACAGAGTGCTGCGCCAGTGTTCCTTGGCTAAAAGCTAACCCGCTCACTGTCCGCTAAAGAGCAGCTGGTCGCATCTTTAAAATTAGCTTTAGCGGAGCATGCGGCTTCATTTCGACATAATATTTCTACTGTGATCATGTCTCGTGCTGCTAAAGTGGTACCAGTCATTTATTTTGGTTTCGTTTTCGACTGGAGTGGCCCTGTAAGAAACTTAGAGGGACCTCAGGAAAAAAAGTTTACATAAGTGAAAGTTCACTCAACTGAAAGCATTGGACACAATGGTGTTTTGCTGGAAAATTTGACAAAAGTTTGTTCTTCTGAATAATTTGTTCAAGTGGTACCTCACTGTATTTCACAAAGTTTCTTCCAAAAGCCTCGAAATGCTTCGAATATTAAATTGCCATTTTTCGGAGCCAGTGGTTTCGACCACTTGTGTTTTTGGGGAAGCCTTTTGAATCGACGGAAGTGATGGGGAGTATGTAGTGATTTCATTGACAAAACGGTAAATGAAGGTAACTAAAAGCATGTAAACCAACTTTGCATCTTATAAATAGAGAATAATCATCCCTAGTCACTTGGTGCACATGGTTTCGTCTGTTTACATTTGTGGGGCAGCCAACGTCAATAAAAAAAGTTTTAGTGATCGGCTCGATTGGAGGCCTAAGAACTCGGGGACCCCAAGGAGGCGTTCAGGAAGCCTCCATTTGAGAACCACTGTTTGAGGCATTAGGGAGGTCCGACCTCTGGATAGTCGTCGAAAACCCTCGAATTCCAATTATTTCACAGCCCGATGTGGTGTTTTAATACGGTCAGTTGAGCGTATTAAAATTGCTCTCTTTTGTTTGTCCTGTCCGTGCCCCAGACTGGATCATTATGGATTTTTCTCTTTGTTTCAAATTAATTTGCAATTAAATTCGGACTAAATGCAATCTTTCCTGAAATGCCATGGCTACTGGATCTTCGAGAAAGTCTTGGAGGCCTTCACCTGTTGTTTGAGAATCCTGTAGCATCTGTAAATGGACCGACAACTGCAAAAAATAATTTGCTTAAGTTGCAGCAAATTTCTCGTCTGCTTGGTTCCGGCCCTTGATGATTCGAACGAAAAATTTAATTCTTACACAGCAGTCCCGTCCTTGATGTGTACCGGTTGTTTGATATTAATTTGTACAGAAAGGTACAGCAATCTGGTTTGCGTAGCTGAGTTATACCACCTGGGGGACAGAATATAGGGAGCTTATCATCACAATAAGCTGGATAATTAATTAAAATTAGTTGCTTAGCTCCTTAACTGGCGAAAATAAACATAGTTACAATTAGAAACTTGCCCATACTCATGGGTATGGAGTGCTGACTTCGTTGGAAGTATGTCCTCCTAAGACGTTTCGTCCCTATCATACGTGATGATATTTCGAGGCCAGTCTGGCATGCAGTCTGTACTTTATGAAAAAAGATTCGGACGGTACAAAAAGTTTGCAAGGTCCTGTCATAATTTCATGAAAAAGCATTCAAGCTCGTCTAAGACGAAACGTTTATACTATACTGACCGATGTAAGATCAACCTTTTATGTACAATTAGATCTGTATGTGCCTGTCTCTCTCAGTCCCACCCTTTGTCGGTCTGTTTGTCTGTGTGTGCACGCATATATGTTCTTTTATTGTTTCTTTTGCATTCTGATATGCGTGCAGAAGATGCCATGTTCTTAATTAACGAAAGAAGTAAAAGATAGAAACAAAGCTCCTTTTTCTGATTAGCACGGAAGAGCACCCCATTTTGCTCATGTTCAAGTGCTACATATTTTTATTTACCATGTGCTTCCTTTCACAGCGGAGCTGTTAAGGGCTCGCTTCCCCAGTTTCGTCTTTGTCACCAAATAAATGTCGACACAATACTGGACATCTATCGCCATCTGTGAGCAACAGTGGCAACCAGACAAGCGGCTTGGCGGTTGTCTGGTTGCCACCATTGCTCATAGAGTGTGGCAAACTTTCCAGCCTTTCCACTATGGTTTTCACCAGAGTGGAAAGGCTGAATCTCTCCAGGTGTCGTCCTCAAGTTCATCATAAAAGTCGTCCTTGAGGCCATCCTAGACGTCGCCCTTGACGTCGTCCGAGAGGTTGGCCTCGAGCTCATCCTAAAAGTCATCCTTAAAGTTGTCCTAGACGTCATCCTCAAGGTCGTCATAGAAGTCCTTGACGTTGTCCTAGACATCGTCCTCGAGGTCATTTTAAAAGTCATCCTTAAAGTTGTCCTAGACGTCATCCTCAAGGTCGTCATAGAAGTCCTTGACGTTGTCCTAGACATCGTCCTCGAGGTCATCCTAAAAGACATCCTTAAAGTTTTCCTAGACGTCATCCTTGAGGTCATTCTAGAAGTCCTTGAGGTTGTCCTAGACGTCGTCCTCGAGGTCGTCCTAGAAGTCGTTGTTAAGGTCATCCTAGATGTCGTCCCTGGCGTTGTCCTAGGCATCGTCCTCGAAGTCGTCCCTGAGGTCGTCCTGGACATCGTCCTTAAAGTCGTCCTAGATGTCGTCCTTGAGGTCGTCCTAGACATCCTCTTCCTTGAGGTCGTCCAAGAAATCATCCTTGATGTCGTCCTAGACGTTGTCTTTGATGTCGTCCTTGAGGTCGTCCTAGAAGTCATCCTTGAGGTCGTCCTAGACGTCGTCCTCTAGGCGTCGTCCTTGAGGTCGTCCAGGAAGCCGTCCTTGAGGTTTTCCCACCGTAGTACAGCTTCACTGGTCTTCCTTCTTCACCAGAGTGGAAAGGCTGAAAGCTTTTTAATTAAAAACAATAAATTGATATGGGTGGCATCAAATTACAGACAAACAATTATAAAAACATATTTATTGTGTTAGTTTTGTGGGAAAAGAGTTTTGGGAAATAGGTGTTCTCGTGGAAAATGATCATAGTGATATTGGTGTGGCTTAAATTCCGATTTAAATCTTCCTTTTTTATTCTTAACCCTGAGCTCAATGAGTTTCGGGTAGATTAATTTGAGGATATCAATGTACAGTCGATTTTAAGAAAAAGTGCAGTGGTTGCACCTGCTAGAAGCAGGGAAGGTTTCGTCGGAAGCCAGCATGCAATGTGATTGATAGAAGATGTAAAATTTATTTCCTGGGATATATAAGAAGCTTTTTATATACCATGGGATATATAAGAAGCTAGATGACCTTAGATCTGCCCCAGCCCTTGTGTGACGTCACCCTCAACGAATCGGCTCAAAAAAGCCGAAGTTCCGTCTGTGCGCGCTTCCGCCATCACAGCTTCGCACACGAAAGGCACTGCAGGCAGCTGAATGCCTGTCACTGTCGAACACCAGCTCCTCCGCTAGTGGCACTACATCCGTTTTTCAAAGCGCCCCCTATAGTTCCCGCACAGAGTGTATACCCCCAGAATGAAGTAAAGCATAGCTTGGCATGGAATGTGCTTAATAACTCTATCGTCGAGAAATGGTGTTGATGTCTACATATTTTTCTGGTGGAATGCATATTGGAATACCTGTTTCCAATTACTATGAAAGTAAAGTTAACAAAATATGCGGTTAGCTAAAAAAAAAGTAATAACTAGGGTACACCACCGAACGGCAAGGCAGCAGGGGAGGGCACGCGACAGCCAATCACGAGAGACGGTTTCCCGGCCGACTGATTTCACGAAGGCGCACATATTCGAAAATTCAGTCCGCCTGGTAGCCGTCATCCGTGATTGGCTGTCACGTGCCCTTCCCTGCTGCCTTCCCGTCCGGTGGCGCCAACGGTGTTCTGCACCACGGCGCAAAAAGGGGTGCACGGCATGATCTTTGATTGGATTTTCTATAGGGAAATCGGCCGCCCTTGAATGTGATTCCAGGTTTTTTTAGGATGCTTAGACCCCATAGATTAAGTCATAACAATAAATTGATGACCTCAGAATCCACTTGAGGGCCGCTTTAACAGAATGGATGGCTGGGCGAGTTGGTGCATACTTACTGTAATATCCTTAAAACTAGCCTTCCTAAAATCGAGAAAAAATTTGGTGAAAATAAGGAGAGGGTTAACGTTCGATAGGCGATCGAGAAAAGTTGAAAAAATTGTATTTTTAGATAAGTGTCCCTGCCAAACATGTTATCGTTGCGAGGAGCCATGAAGCAAAGATGGCTCTACTTCAAAGTCAGCAATGTTTGTTTATATCTCGCCATAGCTACGAGACGCATTTATGTCAAGGTCATCATTGATCCCAACACTACGATCATTAGGAGCAGGCTATCTTTCGCTGTTCAAAAGAAACCAGGAAATCAAGCCAAAATAGTTTGTGGGTTACCTTTCGGGGGTGGGGCATTTCTCAGGATTTTACGGTATGTTGAAACAGCGCCGGTGGACATGAACAAAGCGAGAGACTGGATGAAAGAGACATGTTTTCGATGGCGGGGACAAAATTTCAGATCTGGGGACGACGCCTGGGCAGCATACTACTGAAAGCACCGTATCATTCGTTGCGGAGGCACATCGCCAGCCTGAGTAGAGGGTCGTGCATGTTTTTCGTGGCTCCTCGAAAAATGAAACCAGTTAGTTGTTGGTCATCATCCATTTCGCCCTGTCTTTCACCTCGTCCGTGTCGAGTTGCACGTCTTAAATACGAACAGGGTCATTTATCGGTGTTTTTCAGTTCAACCAGAAAGTACCCGGCCTACGACATCTCATTGCTGTTTGCCAACTTCACGAAGGTAGTACTTCTGCAGCAGCAAGCTTTTTCGCGTGTCGCCTCAGTGTCTTTGCACAGGGATTTGGGTCGCACGCATTTTTCCCTGGAGGTTGAGGGATCCCATGTCCCTTTTCTTTCGATGCAAGCTCAACACCGGAAATGAACACCCAAAAAACACCAGATCACTAAAGAAAAAAAAAAAAAGAAAAAAAAAAAAGGACCCGGAAAAGAAAAAAAGAACCCGGAAAAAAAAAATAAAAAAAAAAAGAACCCGGAAAAAAAACATGCGATTCGAAGAGAGTAAATATTAAAAATGTACTAATAATAAGGAAATAAAAATTAGATAAAAACCCTAGTAATGAGATTTAAAATTGTAACAAGAACTGTAATTCAGTCGTTTCTCAATAGTACGCCCGTGCGTGCTTTGTTGTTATCGTTTTCGTTATGTTTTCACAGATTTTTAGAGTGCAGCTCTTAGGCACCTGTTTCTGGCTAGAGCTTCGGCGCCATCACCATCGGCGTAACCGCGTGTTGCATTATGGGACGTTTTCCCAAATGACGTCACACGTGATGTCACAAGTGACGTCACTCGTAGCCGCGCGTTGCATTTGGGATGTTTCCCATAATGACGTAACACGTGACGTCACATGTGATGTCCTAGGGTCGCAAGTGACGTCACGAAGGACACTCTTGAAGGTCATGACCTTCACTCGTGAGGCCTTCACGAGGGACGTCACTAGGGTCACGAGTGACATCACGAAAGAGGGAGGAGGAGGAGAGGGTACGGAGGAGGAGGGACATACCCTTCCCTCCTCCTTAAGAACTGTGCTCTAATTTGGCATCACAAGGAATTTCAAACGTCTTTCTTTTTTTTTTTTTTTTTAATTGTATTTATGCCATCTTCTGCGTAACACCCGGAAATAGGTCCTGAAGGTACATAAATGATTGAATGAAATACATTTCTGCTGTGCGGAATCATACTCGTAAGGGCCCTGAGTGGTCCCTCGTTTCAATTCGGTGTTGGAGTCCTCAATGGGAGCGTCTGGGGCCACGCAGAAATCGCTGGTGGCGGTGAAGCGGCGGTGCCAGCAGTGCGACTACGAGACCTACAACCGGCGCAGCATGCAAGGCCACATGCGGCGCAACCACGGGAGCCTGCTGCAGTGCCGCCAGTGCGAGCAGAAGTTCTCGCTGCCGGCGGAGCTTACGCGCCACATGCGGCTGCGCCACTCGGCCCAGGGGCGCCAGGACTGCCCGCACTGCACGCGCAGCTTCGTCTGCCCCAAGGCGCACGCGCTGCACGTCACCATGCACCAGGTGGGGTGGCATGGTCTCCAACATTTTATTTGTCATTTGTGATCTAACTTGTATCACATTTTTGCACGTACAGTAGGCCCGCTGTAATTCAAACTCTGATATTTTCTACTACAGTACCGGTTAATTCAAACAAATTTTAAAATTTTGGTTGCACTGCTGTGTTCTCAACATAGTCATCAGTGTTTGGAAGCACTTTAAGTACTTTGTACTTAAAGTACTACTTCAAGTAAATGAAGAAAACTTCTTTTTTACTTGAAGTATGTTCTCTGAATATGAACTTGTACATAACTTGAAGTGTCTTCTCCGAATACATACTTTTACTTCACCTAAAGTATTTTTTTCCGGTACATCCGAGTAAAGTACATCTCCCAACTTTAAAGTACATTCCCAGAATTTGGGCTTGTTAAATTTTGTATAATGAAATTATGCTTTGTAAACCTCTAACAAAAATTTCGTCATATGAAAACAGGCTATTGTCTTTCGAGACGCCATCTGGTCATTTTTCTGAGGGAGATAATGGTGGTTATAAGACTGATACAAATAAGTGCCTTATAAGTTCATTGCTTAAAATAGTTTATTAGCGAGAGTAAAACAACTCCTCTGCGATCACTTGACCTTACCCAATATTTGCCGCCATTTGCAAAAAGGATGAAGCCCCAATTTCTCCTTGGTCATTGCATACTAGTTTTTAAAAAGACACTGTATAAGGGAATGAAAGGGCATCATGAAAGATTGTGTTAGAAAGTACTTGTACTTTACTTTGAAAGTACATTTTTTTACTGTACTTTACTTCTAGTATGTTGCAGCCGGTGTACTTACTACTTTCCTTGAAGCTCATAACCTTGCATTTGCTTTTACTTTTCTTCAAGTACTCTTTAGATGTACTTTACCAAACACTGGTATTCATAAGCTGCTTAATTCGAACAATGTTTTCATGTAATTCATACTTTTTGTTCTCGCAGCCCCGTTGAGTGCGCTTCTTTCTGAGCACCGGCGCACTGCAGAGAGGCAACACCCGCGAACATCACATTCGCGGGTGTTGCTCCTCCACAGTGCACCGGTGCTCGGTGAGAAGCAAACTCACCGGGGCTCAAATGGGCACACGTGAGCTATGAAAACACACTCCATGCAAAAATTTCCCCGGCAACTTGCGCAGACGCCGTGACGTGGCGGCATGGCATAGGTCCACGTCACAGCCTCTGCGCAAGATGCTACAAAGATTGCCGTGCGGTGCTCATCTTCATCACTCAGTGTCCCCCGCTTAATAGTCCACTATAGACTACTTCTTGGCAAAGAACAAACTTAATTTAGTTTTGAGTTGTCACGTGCTGTCTAAGCGGTCCACGATAAAAAACATTTTTGAGGGATAAATAAACTTACGTCGTATATTTCGCAAATGTTCCACGTGTGGCAAACCTGCTTGGGTGGTTTCATTTGAAATTGAACACGCTTGTCAAGGTGGGTCTTTCGATTTTTTTTTATTTTTTTAAATTTATGTAATTGCTCTAATTTTGTAAAGAACAAAACCACTTTCCAAAATTTTTTAAAAAACTTCTTCGCTTCGCACAAAAAAAGTAAGTGGAGCAGGGTGAAAATCTGTTTTTACTCCATGAGCTTTCTACCCAGTTCAGAACGCTGGTATGAATACGGAAAGCATACAACACTCACAGTAATCTTTTTGTGCTTGTATACCATGCCGACCACCGTATTAACTGGAATATAGGTCAAACCGGAATATAGGTCGACTCCCTAATTTACAAGTTGCAAAAAGTGAAAAAAAGATTTTATGGCAAGAAACTGCAACCTTGCCTTGATAACAAAATTGGCCAAGTATACGGAAGGACGAGAAAACATGGCACATTTATTTAATTGCTTTGCATGCATTGAAACAGAAAGTGCTCGAGCGTTACTACTCATTCTTCAGAACCATCGTCTGACAACGAGTTCACTAACGCAATTCAAAGGGACGATGCCGTCCCTTTGATTTGCGCCCTCGAGATCTCGGAGGCACCAGCGACCTTGACGACTTTCGTATGGATGCACTCCGACGTCACAGGTAGTGACCTGGCACGCAGATCCCAAATAAAATTTGCCACCTTTGTTTCCAATTCAGGGTACACCACAGTCCTTCCAGGAAATGAAGTTTCCTTCGCCTTGCTGTCTCTGTCCTCGCCAGTAGTGTATACAATTTCCCGGTACACCGAACTTTCGCTGCACTGCAAGATTTTCGTGGATCTCTGCATAGACGATTGCCTTCTTCTTGAAGGCTACCGTGTATTGTCTTCTACTTTTGCTCATTATCCCTTCGGGAGCGGCAACGGTAGGTGTAAAAAAAACAAGGAGCACAAGTGAAAGTGAATCGTGACCATCGTGACAAGTGGACGAGCGCTAGAGGATTGCAAAGAAAAACAAGACTCGCAACACTGGGTGGCTTCAAGCACCCAGTGTTGCGAGATTATTTTTGTTTTTCCTCTAATGACCATTATATAAAATGAGGGTCGACTTTTCCAGATTCATTTTCAAAAATGAATTCGATCTATATTCCGGTTTATGCGGTATTTTTAGTTCAAAGAAAAATCCTTTAGCATTCTTTTTTACTGAGGTAAAAAAGGCCAAACATCGTCTCTTTGACAATCTGGCGGCATATTCAGAGCCTTGTATCGCATGAGTTATTATATTTGTTGCTTAGCAAAAACTATGCGGGTGTAGTCCTAAATATGCGTTATCGATGGGCATAAAGTAAGGTTATTTTATTTTTGCGGAATATTTTATAAAAAATGGTGATACCGTCAAAAATTAGGTTTACCAATATTTTGAATCCACTGTACAGTAAACTTTCATTAATTTAACCTCAACGGGACCTTGAAATTTGGTCGAAATATCTGAATGATAGAATTAAAAAAAAGGACAGAAAAACGGTTAAAATTAAACCAAAGTACTCACGGGTGGTCTGCTGCCGTCTGCGCTTAAAACGGGTGTCAAAAAGCATGCTTGGGAGAGCAATGTAGCTAAACGTCACGTCCCCGCAAAATCACGCACAAAAAGAAATACAAAAAAAAGACATGAATACAGAAAGCTTTAAGGCCCGTTCACACTCTTGCAACCGAGAGAGACCAGACCTGTTTTTAAGCCTCATGCGATCTCTTAGGACCAGCTCCGCTGCATCGCATCCGGTCCTAAGAAGTCACAAAAGGCTTAAAAACCGGTCTGGTCTCTTTCAGTCTTAGTCGGTCGCAAGAGTGTGAACAACGCTTTACAAGCCGACTTTGGCACTGGGCAGCCAAAGCGCTTTTAGAGCGTGCGCTGCCTCCGCGCCCGACTACGTGCTATGTTCTCCGCGCTACTCCATGCCAGACTGGTTGTGCTGGCTCGTGTCATTCTCTACGGTCCATTTCACCGGCGTAGAGGAGCAGGCGCATATTTGCGCACGTTCGGCTTTGCAGCAAAGGGCCCGTGTTTCGCCGTACGTTGGTAGTTTTTCTGCTGTGGTGCTGTGCAACGCGCGCATTCGCTCGGGACGAATTATCCGATGCGAAGCCTTCCCGAGTTCAAACTATCTAACTTTTCTTTCCATTGGAATGTATGGGCGCTCTCCGGGACTTTTGAACACGATCGAATCAAACGAAAAGTCGAATTAACCAAAATGAAACTAACAAAAAAAATATATATATTTTGTTTAATTTTTTTTATTATTGCGGTCGATCATATTAACTTGCAATTGGCTTGATGCGATTTCCCGCTTTTTTTGTTGAATCTTCTCTAGAAGTGATCGAAATCGCACCCACGCTGTCGGAGCGGTCAAACGCAGTTTCCGCTGGTCGGCTTCGCTGCTAAGATTATACTGCAAATTTTTCTGTTAAAATGCAGCGGGTAAATTTATTTTGATTGAGAACGTTCTTGCTTGGCTACATATTGAATTTTCTTAATTTTGTAACGATGATAAATATGATCAGCAGCACTGATAAAAAAATTGAACGAAATAAAAAATGAATTTTTTCGATGAAGTGGATTCAAAATATTGGTACTCTCGAGACCAGTTGTAGCGAAGTCAACGGGAATCGAAAATCACTTTACTATATCCGCTGTTTCATTATAACCAACTTTGGTTATAACTAAGTGCAAAAGCGAATGGGAAATCGTCATCGCTTCGCTGTAGCCACTGTTTCGTTCTAATCGACTTCGTTATAACCGGTCTTGATAGTAAATTAATTCTTTTTTTACGATACGTCAGATTTTTAATAAAATATTTTGTCAAAATAAAATAAACTAAACTTATGCCCGTCGATAGCCCATGTAGAAGACTACACCCACATAGTATTTGGTAAGCGACAAATATAATAACTCGTGAGATAAAAGGCTCTGAATATGCCATTGAATTGCCAAAAAGGCTATGTTTGGCATTTTTTACCTCAGTAAAAAAGAAATACTGAAGTATTTTTTTATTAACTAAAACATAGTTGGCATGGTATACAAGCACACAAAAAATTACTGTAAGTTTTGTATGCTTTCTGTATTCATACCAGCGTACCGAACTGGGTAGGCAAATCATGGAGTAAGAAACAGACTTTCACCCTGCTCCATTTAATATTTTTTTTGTGAAGCAAAACATTTTTTTAAAAAATTTTGAAAAGTGGTTTTGTTTTTTACAGAAATAAGCCAATTACATATATTAGAAAAAAAAACAACCAAAAGGCCCATTTTGTAGTCTTGTGCGAATAGTGGATTTTCAGTTCGAAGCGAATTCGAAGCGAATAGTGGTTTTGGCCGAATATTTTCGATTCGAATATCGAATAGTTTTTCCACGCAATTCACTACTATTGCATAATGCTTAGACAAAAACCCAGCTAAACCTGTGAAGGTTATTACACTTGTTCATTTATAAGCTAAGTTTAATCTATCTATATTTATGAGCTGTGACCTCAGAAGGTCTGATGTCTTGGGATGACAAGTAAATGACGGATTTGACATAAAATGAATCCTATAAATATGGCCAACTATACAAATTGAGTGAATATACATATCTTGCTATATAAAATATTAGTTCTTTAATCTCGAGTTAACAAATAATGAATCGCGCATGGGGAACGCAGGCTGTGAAAGCATCTCTGCCTACGATAGTATACTCTTCCATAAAAGTTTAATTTTGAAACTTTTACTACAATGGAGATATACGCATTCACAAAGTTTCCATTTGTTTTCAAATACAGTCGGCACGGGTGCGCCATCCCGCTTTGAATGTATGTTTTTCTTCCAAGCACGCAATTACATCATTGTTCATCGCGGCGGGTTACCCCGTTAAGTGCGCTTCTTACCGAGCATTGACGTAATGCAGAGAAGAAACACCCGGAGAGCTCACTTCCACGGGTTTTGCGTCTCCGCAGCGCTTAGTCCCCGCTCCGCTTAGTCTCCGCTTAGTAAGAAGCCCATTCAACGGGGCTAACCAGCCGCAATCAACACTTCGAAAAACGCGAATAGTGCAGTTCTTTTCGAAGCGAATATCGAATAATGTATTATTCGGAACTACTATTCGAAATTTCGAATCTTCGCACGACCCTACCATTTTGATAGGCGTGTTCGATTTCAAATGAAACCACTCGCTTATAATCAGTCGGCCTATGTGGAGGAAATCATTAGAAATCTGCTTTGTATGTGTAGCCATTCATAAGCAAGTCATAATTTTATCTTGCATCATATTTAGGCGAATATCCGCTAATTCAAACTTCCGATAATTCAAACAAAATTCGTGGCTTCCTGGAGCTTGAATTACTGAAACTCTACTGTACTACAAACATTTGTGCTAAGCATAGACATAAACTCATTGTTTCCCTTTCTGTTATGCTTATGGATGCGCAAATATTGAAATTTTTTAATACAAATCAAATTTGAATATGAAAAAAAAAAGAAAACGAGCTTTACGTATTTATAATGTGTGCAGTAAAAAGAAAATTGGGTTGTGTGTGTGTTTATACAGCCTAGAACTTGGTCTGCCTCACAGGGGCGACGAGTCTCCCAGCTGTAGATGAGAAATTTAGCCAGTGCGGTACAGCCGCTAGCCTGGGGTCTTTAACGTGCATCACGCAGTAGTGATACACGACCGCACGCCGGTACGATGCTCATCCAGATCGAAACGGGCAGGGGTGGGGCTCGAACCCAGGATCCCTGGGTTCTGCAGCGCGAGCTTTCGCTCCACGTGCTCCAAGCTGGTGTGCACTAGACCACTCGGCCACCGATCCCCCTCAGTAAAAAGAAATGGTGCCAACCCTTGTCTTTTGCGACAAGGGCTGCTTCCTCCGTCGAACCACATCGTTGTGTAGGTTGACTCTCCGACGGCCTGGCTGCAGCGTCCTCTTTCTATTCTTCCGCCAACAAAGAACATTGTTTCGGGTGGTTTTGGAGCATCGTGGTTGTTCCCATCGGCGTTTGAAGAACACTTTTGCGCAACTTGCACTGAGCTCTCGACGGCGAGAGTTTTGGGTTGTACCGCCAGAGAAGATTTCTTCCGGTTTTTGCTTCTTGCTTGCTCAGTGGCTCATCAACTGCGAGCGAGGCCATACTCAGAACACGTTTGAACAAGGACGGTGCCGGCTGTTACTAAAGCAGCTGGTGTACAGATTGCCAGACAAAGTGCACAGTGCAGTGGTAGCCATCTTTTCTGGTGTTAGTTGTGTATGATGATTCAATATTCTTATAGCTTTTTCCCTAATTTCTCATTTATGAATATTTCGAGAACACATTGTTGAGACAAGTTTATTGTTTCGCCTATTTTTCTTATGTAAAGAATACATACTGTGTATCGTTAAAATGTAGTGTGCAACTTTCTCTATAAAAATAAGAAACTGAAACTGTTGCTGTCTCATGGAATGGATAAGAGTTTTATTCAAAATGGCAACACAGCCGACACAGAATGAATTATGAATGCATCGTGTGTAGATTTCAATGAATAAGCTTTCTGAGATACTTCGGAATGTTGAGGGCATAAGTGGCAAGCAGATTATTTATTTGCCAGAATATTTGGATCCGAATAATTGGGAAATTTCCAAATGCACGATTCTCAAACCAAACACTTATCGAATAAAAACAATATTCTATTTGTATTCGAAATTCTGAACATTTGCACACCCTTAGTTATAGTTAAAAAGAAAACCTTGGCTTTTTCACAAATGTTTTTGCCCAACCCTTTTACAGTGCCCCCTCAAAAACAATGTGGCACAAAGTATGCCAGTGCATGTTTTAAAAGTGTAGAGAGGGCAACAAAACCATGCTTCTAATTTTAGCATTGTTCTAGACTATGTTATCGCAAACTAAAATATTTTTGCTGGCAATTGGAACTGAGTCTTAAAGTCGTTGCCAATAAGAAAATTTTGTAGTTAACATTTTTCAGCAATATTAGTCTCATTGCACACTCCAGTTTATGAGGTATTAAGTATCCAGATACAAATTCTAGATCAAAAGATACCATGGGCAAAACTTTGTGTTGTGATGAAAATATGAATTATGAAAAAACAGGAAAAACTTTTTGAAACATGCTTGCAAACAGCCCGGATATAAAACTTTGAAGCGACGTAACTATATAAATGTGCATTTCCTGAATGTAGTACTTCCAATACATATTGTTTGTAGCCTATAAAAAAAAAAATTAATTTTTGTTTATTAAAATAAGGGGGAAATTTTTGTGAGCTACCCAAACTAAACACACTTTCGGGATTCCCAAGCATCTCTCTTTCCGGCACGTTATTCATTATTTCTAAATTTGAGATGGCTATTAAGGAAACGGCAAATGAGGGTGATGCGAAAACCAATGTCCAAATTTTTCATCGTTCTCTAGTAGGGCGACGTCGCACGCTGCATAACTTGCAAGTTGAGCAAGCAACCTAGAAGATTATATTTTTTGCATATTTTTTCGTTTTTCATGGCATGAACTTACATTAGCATTTATTTCACACCATCAAACTTCTTGTAACTCGTTCTAAATAAGCTGTAATGCTCCTGCGTTGCCCCCCATTCCAATGTCTGACATCAAGTTTTCGGTGTGGCCGGTAGGGCCTCTCAGACCAAAAATAAAACTTCAACAACTTTGAAAAAAAAAAATGTCTGTGATTTGCAATTTGGGTGACTAGTTCAGATACATCCATTAATGTGTTGAACCAATTTTGAGGCAAATCAGTGACTATTGAAATTTTTGAAGAACTCTCCTTTAATGCAGCAGAATGTCTTACGTGCCTGGCTCCTGGTAGCCCTCTGTCCGCATTTAGAAATTTACTCGATCTCGCTCCATGGGCTCTGTACGCTGTGCAATACTGTCAGCTCGAAAGAATGATTGCCCATTTTTCTTGTTTTTCTCCTAAAATCTAAAGTCTGTTATCAAAACTACCGCAATGGTGAGAAGTGCTCACTTAGTGGACCGATTCGAGGGTCAAATTTGATGCCTGACAATACCCTTTGGTAGTAAGGCCAAAACTGTTGCCTAGACCATGTTTGCACCAACAGTTTCGTGCACCGTACCTCGAAGTTGAAAGACCTACCGGCATCTGACGTCGCTCCGTTGGTGTTGTTGCGTGTTACGAGCTACAAGAGTAAATCAGATCCGTAACATATTTTATGGAAGGGCGTCATACTAAAGTTTACCTGTATGAAAAAACACTGGAGGAAGTGTAGAAGTGCTCAACCAGGATGCCCATGATTGACCCTCTATGGGCTTTGGAACTTTGTGAGCTGAGCCTTTGAGCGAGTTCTTTCGATAGATTTCGAGACTGAGCCCCCGTGCAAGCTCCAGTTCGAGCTCCCAGTTGCCCTCGTTCTTCGGTCAGCGTGCTTCTCGCCACTCTTGGTCGTGTTTCTGACTGGTCACGTTTTGCAGGACGGCAGTGGTCACGAATGCAGCAAGTGCAAGCGTCTCTTCGAGAGCGAGGCACTCCTTAAGCACCACCAAGAATCGCACCTGTCAGATGCCAAGGGCCGCCGGTGTCAAGTCTGTCTGCGCTGCTTCACCACGCCACGGCGTCTGGCCGAGCATCAGGCGACCTTCCGCTCAAAAGGTACCTGCAATCCGCTGGAGTCACAATTCGGATATAATCGCGGTCTGGCTACGATCACGATCCGACCACTGTGAGATCCTGAGAGATACCCCAGCCCCGAAAGATAACCCACCTCTATGTTTGTCTTGATTTGCTATTGTCTTTTAAGCACTGAAAGACGGCCCACTCCTAATGATTGTAGCATTCGGGTTGATGATGACCCCAGCATAACGATTCGGCTAGTTAGCTATGGTGGGATATGAGTGAACATGGCTGACTGGAAAGCAGACGTATGCAACGCGTTACTATGGTCGTTCTCTCCTCAAGAACCATAGTAAAAAAAAGTTCAACTTTTCACGCAGCATTATTAATTTCTCCCTTTATGTAGATAATTAAGATATATGTAGTTGCATTTTAGATTAGATATAGGCTACCTTATCAGGACGTACATGCTTCAAACGCCAAAAGCATCGCTTCTTGCTCTGACAACCAAATCCTGTAAGAACTTCGCACGGCATATGAACAATGCGCAAAACTTCCTTCTTTCTTGAGGTAGAAATGCTTACAGTCACGAGTTACTTCTATTTACCGTAATATCCAGTCATCGTCTACCCCACTTTCTAAGCAAATATTGATTTAAAAAAAAAAGAAAGATGTTTACAATTACCTGTAACACCGAATTAGTGCACAGCTCTTGAGATGGAGGAGGACGGGAAGGTATGGAGATGAGGCAATGCCCCTCCTCCTGATCCATACCCTCCCCTCCTCCTCTCCTGCTCGCCTACCATTTAGGGAAAAATTTCTCGCTAAATTTAGCGGGCAAATTTTCCTGTTAAATTCAGCGGGGAAAACTTCCCGCTATCAGGGGTGGAATGGCTGCGCCATTTCCGCCATTTTGCACCGAACGCATTTGTCTGCGCCATCCTGCGCCATGTTTCGGAAACTGCGCTACAGCCAATACCTCGCGCCATTATGCACTAAATCGCAAAACGTGCGCCAGAAAAATTGTATTTTGTCTTGGTTTCGGTTTCTATCGACTCGATTGGCAACAATGATTGTGTTTATCTTGGTCGGTCTTGCAATCCTTTATTCTCTTTACTCTCCCTGTGTATCCCTAGTCGGAAGTGTGCGAAAAAAACTCGGGGGTCGGGTTCCAAGCACTACGCCACCTGCCACTGGATGGTTACTCTTCAACCATCAGCGGTTAAGCAAGTCGGCCGAGTGAGGTCGAGATTGCCTGAGGCTCTGCGGCCCGGGATCGGACGTCAGTCAGTTGAAAACAAATGAGCAAAAGATTCCTTTTAGCACTCCATTGTTAGGAGTTGGAACCGCATTCCTGCGAGATAAATCGTGATTTGATAGAACTGAAACGCGGTCCGATCCGAAACCTTGCCGGCCAGCAGCTCTCACGCGAGCGGTAGATCTGCTCGGCGTACTTTAACCTTGCTCCTGCTCATCGCTTCGAATACGATAACTCCGTTAATCATAGTCTGCTGCTTCGATATTGAGTTGCACAATAGAATAAACTCGAATTTTGTTGCGATATTGAGTTGCACAATATGAGAAACTCGAAACTCATTGCCTTGATCCCCTGCTCAACTGCACGTCCGTTGCTTACGCACGTCACGTGGTTCGCACATATAATCACTCTGTCGAGCACGTGTGAGCTGTGCGATAAGCAGTGCTGGTTTGCATTATGAGGAGCTGAAAGCCACTCAGAAAATATCAAGGCCCACAAAGTTCAAAGTTTTTGCATCTGTTACACTGTTATCCCATCTGCCTAGGTCCCTAACCACTCATGTTTATCTGTGCTGCTAAGCACAATTGAAACTGCTCCCGTGCTTGTCTAAGACAGAAGCTGAAGTGCAATGAAAACTGATCTGAGCTGCTCCTAACCTGCTCCAGAATGTAGTTTTAGCTGCTCCCAACCTGCTCCAAAACAGCTATTTCAGCTGCTCCCATGGCTGCTCTGAAGTACATTTCATGAGTTCCACCCCTGCGCTATATTTAGCGGGGATTTTTCCCGCTAACTTTAGTGGGGAAAATTTTTCGCTAAATTTAGCGGGGAATTTTTCCTGCTAAATTTAGCGGGAAAAATTTTCCACTAAATTTAGTCCGTCTGCACCAAAGTAAGGTCTCCGTGAACCTTATTTCTCCCGGAACATTGCGATTGCGGTTGGTAAGGTTGTTCAATGTTTCAGACAAATCCAATGGGTAAACAAAAATTTTCTTGAACGCGGCACGAAGATGTTTGTAGAGTATCCCATTTCAAGTTCTGTGTTCCTGGTGCCGTCCATGCCACGCAGCAACGCCACCTCAACCTGCATTGGTAGCATGCCGCACACGGATGTACACATGTATGCACCAAACATGAAAGTTTCACAAGAGCCTGCTTCTTGTGATGGACAAGTTGCCCAACTTGGCTCGATGCCAAGGTATTTGCCAACGCGTTCGATCGTGGGCTTTCATGCTTCCCCAGCATCACTCTTTGTTGCTTTTTCCGCCCGTTCGCTTGCTCTGTCATTGCACCTGGTTGGTTTTTCTACTTTCTTGTTGACTTTTTTTTATTATTAACAAAGAGAACATAGCGGTGTTAGAAACATGCTTTCACGGAACAAACTTAACACTTTATTAAGATCGGCAGTGTTCATCGTGCTTTTGCAAGCAACAGACTTTGTTAGGGTTGTGCGAATAGTGGATTTTGAGTTTGAATCGAATTTGAAGCGAATAGTGATTTTGGTCGAATATTTTCCAATCGAATATTGAATACTTGCGTTCAAAAACTTAGCCGTTTTTAGAGGGAAGTTTACAGAAACACTTCCAAACTGGACTTCTCACGCTGTCGTTAGTCCATCTTGCCAACCGATTTAGCTGCCGTCATTTTGACAATGTCGATGTCATCCACTCACCTTGTCGCTGTAATAATATAATATTCCTTCGAAATATTATAGTTTAAATGTTTTGAAATAGTGTTTATGAGTTTTATCGGAAATAAAAGTTTCTGAGCAATTATGCATGTTATGAGAAATTTCTAAAGGTATTTATTTTTATCCTAAACTTGTTTTTCTAAATTTATGTCTGGACGTGGTGGTGGTGAGAAAAGAGTGCTGGCAACCAGGGCACCAAGGATGGCAAAGATGGCGCCGGTGTCTCTGGAGTTCGTTGCTCGGTTTCTTTTGCCCGTTATTAAAAAATTGATAAAATAATTACGATGAATATATTTCAAAGTTCCCAACATAATATTTATACCATTTTGCCGAACGTGTGCGTATATTCTTAATTTTAGCTATTGTTTTTTTTCTTGTCTTTAGACAGTAAACAAACTTGCGACCGTGAGTTCCAAACACTTCAAAAAGCATGAATATTACAACTGCTCTCGAAGCGAATATAGAATTCGAAACTACTATTCGAAAATTCGAATATTCGCACAACACTTGACTTTGTGATAGTACAACATTCTTTCGTGAGCATTTCTTGCATAAAACAATAAAACTAATTCAATTTTTGAGTTTAACGTATCTCTTGTGTAGCTGCACTAGATATGTACAGAAACATGGGCGCTTTTCAGCTTTTTCTAAACTTTTAGTGCTTACTCACCGAGACATGGCCCACCCACTTTTTTTGTGAATTTCAGGCGGCAGAGGGATGGGCAATGACTCAGGATATTAAGGTAGTTACTTGTTCGGTAACAAATAACCTATTTAGTTACTGCCCTATTAAAGAAACAAGTAAAATACTTAGGTAGTTACTTTTAACGCCAAGTAATGAGTAACAGTACTTGTTACTTTTGAGTACCGTATTTACATGATTGTAAGTAAACTCCCCACATTGCACATCAGCAACAAAAAAAAAAATAATGAAAACAAGTTTAGATGCTCATTTTTCTGCGAACACGTGAGTAAGGGGAAGTATCTGTTTCGATAGCCCAACCTCCAACATGCGATCAATGGGCGCGTTAAGTCGGCGCTCCTTTACTCCTACTCCGTTGCTCCGAGTTTCATATTACGAGCGCAGCAACTAAACGGCGCATATCGTAGAGGAGCACGACACACTGAGGCTGCGTTCCAAACCTACTCGAATGGATCCGAGTTACCCTGGCAGTTTATGTCATGTGACAACAAAAATAGAGGAACGCCGGACGCGGGTAGGTTTTCGATAACCACCTTCACCCTAGAGTTAGATCGAGTAAGTTTTGGAACACGGCCAGAAACTATCAACGAGCCACACGAGCTCCTTCCGACCGTGGATAGGGCTGGCAGAAGCCGAAAATATTTCAAAGACAAATAATCAGGCCCGTGTGGAGCAGCAGAGTCTAAAGCAAAAGAGACGGCGACGTTATGAAGTTTCTACGAACATTGTAATATTCCTGAAAGGTTTGAAGACTCGTTTCGTGCACATATGTGGAACGTTACCTTGGCCAATCTATTTGTTGACCATGCATGCTGTTCCGATTTAAATTAGAGACAACATTCTTGAAACCGCTCGTCGACGCAGGAAACCCCAAATTTGTCAGAGATTCCCTGGTTCCGTCGGTTCCGTCTCGCAGCGAGACGGAAGCCACGCCGATACCGGCACACCGTCGTTCGATAACACGTCAATTCGTTTTTACGCGGTATGCACGAACAAACCTTTCCCGCAACTTTAACTGGTGTTTCGGCTTTCCAATTTAAGTATCTTTATTCGCTGCAGCTGAGCTAAGCATTCTAAGCAGGGCAGCGGTCTGGCTGTCTTTTCATCACAAGTTCTGTCGCTGAGCGATCGGCACCTCGTTCGATAGATCACTTCGTTTTCAGGCAAGACGCACGAACAAACCTCTTCCTCATTGCTCAATGATGTTTCGGCTTTCAAATCGAAGTATCTTCATTCGCTGGGCTAAGCATTTTAAAAGGGACAGAGCGGTCCGAGTGTTTCCTCATCTCAAGAACTTTTCTGTCGCTGTGCTAACAGCATGCTACCGTTTGACAGATGAATTTCTTTTTCAGGCGAGATGCACGGACAAACCTTTTTTTGGAAGGAATGCT